TGTTGTCCGCCTGACGACCTTCGGCCGCGATGACTCGGCGCGGGGATGTGATTCGCGTTCAATGTCGCTCCTATTCAGCAAAGCAAAGCAGCTCTCTGACCGTCTCTTTCGCGTCGAAGATGATGATTATTATTGGAGAAAGTTAGGCTTTCGATACACGATGATTTCTCGCACGAAGCACATCTCTCGCTGCAGCGAGTATATAATTGGGATCGCTCGAACATCGGCACGATTATTTTTCTCAATACATAGGATTCTCTGGAAGGGATCAGTATAAGTGAAAGTGAGTGTGTGATCGTTCGAAGGCAAAGCGAAGATGATGATGGAACGCGAGGTGACGGACTCGGAGGGAGTCTTCTCGCGGAGGCTGCAGAGCAACTGGGCCGAGCTGCCTCAGACGCTGCGCAAAAAGCAACGTCACCGGCCGGAAATACTCAGCCAGTTTACCGACATGTCGGAGTCTGAGTGCGAGTACCGTAGCCTTAGCAGCAGCCACTACCAGAGCAACAACAACAACAGTCACGTGGTCAATAAGCGCGTGGTTCGAAGATCCGAGTTCTTGCGCAGATTGGAGAACAGGAATTTGCTGCATCTGCAGCATCCGCCGCAACCGCAGTACGGCCCGCCGGTGTCACAGCAGCAACAGCAGCAGCAGCAGCAGCAGCAATTGTTCAGGAGGTCTCTGCCAGATTACAGGTTGCAATACGAAGCTAAGGATATTCGGAGACGGAGCCTCGTTAATCTCGATAACGGCAACGGCAATTCTCACTTTCACGAGAAGTACAGTGCCAAGTTGCATTTCTCCGACGATGAGAGGAAAACCAATTCGCCGGATAGCCTGCTAGTGAGATCCTCCGAGTCGGAGTCCAGCATCAGCGACGAGTACGGTCACACGGACGACTCGGGCGCTTTTCTCGAGAAAGCTTCGCCCTTCGACAAGAGGAAGCAGAGCTGCTCCAGCGGCAAGAGAATCGAGAGCGAGCACCAGCCGCAGTCGATAACTTTTCGGCACAGAGTCGCCAAATTCTTCAACAAACAGACCCCTGAGACGAACGGCAAGAGTCCCGAGTCAGTCAACAAACTCGACGTCAATAAGAACAACGTACAGGCGAAAAAGGAGAAGTTCGAGTACGAGAACATTCCGCGGATCGACTTGGCGAAGCTCGAGCAACGCAAACAGCCGAGTATCGAGCAGCTGCGAATGGAGGAAGGCTGTCAACTGCGCAATCGACGCAACTCGAACATCGAGCAGCCAAAAAGCATGGAAGAGTTACGTCTCATCAAAGATTACTACGTGGACGCTCATCAATCCACGAAGAATTCCAATGAAGCCAACGAGGAAGGCAGCAAGCTTAGCGTACGAGAGATTCTCAAGAGGTTCGAGGAGTTAAGATCCCAGCCAAGCGATGGTGATCGCACGCTCAATACTATTCAGGAAACTTTGCAGAAGCTCGACGAGAAGGTCAAGAGCTATCAGGTGCTTACAACTCTGCCTTTGTGTTTTCAGTGGGAAAGTGCAGACTTAATTAGCAGTCGCGCAGTCGTTAGTCAAACGGATCTCGTAAATTTGTTTTTATTGTTTTCCGCGTTATGATATTGACGCGCTCTCGTGAAAAACTTTCTAATTGGCTGTTTTCGCGAAAACAAAAGTTGAACAACGACAAGGTGAACCGAAAGGAATGACGATTCATCTCCATAAATTTCGCGATCGACAACCCACCATCAAAAACTCAGTCAAGTTTTCGCTCGAGGCTGTAATAGATCTGTGCTCGTCAACTCTTTGTCCAATAACACTTTTCGGTCGTCATCATACGATCATCTTTGCCTTTGGTGACTTTCGCCGATTAATCTCTTGTGAGCGAGAGAGCGCAGTAGTATGATATACCTTTCACTGCAGAATGTGAAATTCAGAACGGAAACGGCTGTTTTGCGCACATTCCGAACGCTTCTTTTTTCAACTCTAGGATGAGAAAAGAGGCGACGAGGTCGCGTCGCGCATACGTATAGTTGATTTATGATGGTTAAAGCGACCAACGTGAAAAGTGTTTTCGCGCGCGCGGATTACTCGTCCCATCGCTCAATGTCGAGGATTCGCTTTTTTTTCTCCCATCGCGCATCGATTTAATCCGCTATAAAACTCGATTTTTTATTTTGCAGCGCGTTCCTCTTCTCGCACGGTATCACTTTGTCGGACACTCCTCTTTTCCCTTCTAATTTTAGCCACGCGCGCCGACTGTTATTTAAAAATAATACTGTTTCTCCTGACACACAATCAGCTCGTTGCGTTCGCGAGGAATCGCGGGTACCGGCTAGCGCGAAAATATAATTAAAAAAAAAGCGAAACGGTTTTCCCGGGACGAATCGCGTTAATGTCGCGTGCTTTCCAGCCGATTTTTATCCCGCGGCATGTGTACCGTTTGTGCATCACGATCAGTCATTGTTCAACCTATTACGCCAGAGCGCGGCCAGCCAACAGGAGGCGATTGAACAAACGAGAGAAAAAGGGACGACCTGCTCGATGAGCCGTTCCACGGCTGTTATTACTTCGCGGCCGTGTAATGCACCTACCCGAATTAATTGGCGTTGTATCTACCCGCTTTCCTTGACTGATACGAGATGAATTCTGATTTTTTATAATTTGTTGCTTCCTAATATTATTAAGTGCGAAAAAATCTTGATAGTTTGGAATTTTACCTCGTTTTGGAGATTGTTTTTTATTTGAATAAGACAGAACACCACGACAAAAGATTGAAACGAAAATTGATGTCTATGAGTGTTAATTAATGGTTCTTTCATGGAGTTCAATGGTATGATTAGTAACGCCTACTAGAATCTAATGCTCTTCATGAAGTTTATTACCATTATGCATCTGGTTATAAAGTTACAGTTATTATGGTAAATTTTCCGTTACTTCTAATTCTAACGTTTAACGATTCAACATAATCTTTATTGCGGTAAAAAGTAATACTATTTGCAACTGTTAGGAATTCTAATTTCGATAAAAAGAGAAATGAAATGTTTAACGACGGCCAACGGTATAACTATTTAAGATTCATCAATTTCTCCGCCAAAAAACGATCTCCGCAAAGACAAACAGCTTACAGAAGCTGAAGCGCAGTCTGTCCTTCGAAAGCATGCAGCGCAAAGCGGATTTCCTTGATAACGCGCTAGCGAGTGCGCAAGGCAAGATGCTCGCAAGCGTGCGCGCGAAGGTCGACGACCGGAGATGAAGTTTCGTTCTGTTCCTTATTAACGCGCTTGCGCCCGTTACGCCGCGTGCGCCGGCGATGCGGCGACTGCCAAGCCGCTACCTGTACGTATGCGTGCAAGGTGGAGCTCACTATGCATTTATCATTCGTACGTATTCAATTATTTTTTCACCTTAGGCTACGCTCTCGCGGTTTCCAAGTTCAGGGACGTTTGGCACGTATCGACGCGCGCGTACAAACGTGAAGAATCATCCTCGCGACAAGAGCTATTCGCGCATTGTGCCACTTTCCGCGCTTCCACGGCTTAAAACTCAAGAAAATCGTCATTCGTCCTAAAACTTCAAGCTACTTTCTATTAAAGTTTCCAGCGAGGAATTTCCATTTATAACGTTAACGACCGAGGCAAGAAAAGAGGAACAATCGATCTTTCTTGAGTCTCGTTGCGTTGTCTTTGACGTCGACGCCAGCCGGAAATTCGGCAATCGTGCGAAGAAGAAATGCTTGGCGGCGACGAGTGCGCTCTTGATGGAAGAAAGGATGAGAGAGAAGAAAAAGCTCTCTCATAACTGTACAAGCTCATGTGGGTCAGGGTCGGTGCAACTCGACGTTCATGTGCACGTGTATATCCGTACGGCTGAGGTATCTGGGACGTATAGTCGCGCGAAATTGCTTTGCCGACGATGGTCCGGCTTTCCACGCACCAGAGTACGTAGACACACGCGAGTGTAACCTGAAATTGCGACGAGAAGAAGCTGAATAACTCGCTAGCCAGCTCGCTCCATTATTACTACACTCTTACTGCAATAGCTTCCTTTTTTCCGTTGGTCGCACGTATACTTTGAGGTTTGATGGTTCGTGGTTTCGTAGTTGAGCGAGCAAAAGAAAGCAAATTCCTCGAAGATAATAATTGCAGTCCATTACAATGAGAAATTGAGCCGAAACTTATACCGGCAACATTCTCGAATCATCTGTCTCTGGACTGGGCGAAAACTGCTCCAAGCGGATTGCCGATCGTCGGCTATTTCTCGTTCTCTCGGTGCGCGCGGCGCGTTTTTTTCTGCTCTACACGGCTCGCGCAGCTTCCTGGCTCGCGGCGAAAATCGACGCGGAGTACCGGTACCCGGCAGGCCGCGTTACGTGTTTTTCGCGCGCCTTGTGCGTCCGTGAAACGGAAACCGCGAGATTTCAGCTACTTCGTCGAATGATGCTGAGTAACGCGAGCTTCATTTGTTGCTCGATACAGCCTGCAAATTAGCCTCGCCTTCGCAACAATTTCCGAAGGATAAATGACTCGATATTCGTTCCCTACGATTGTTCGTAAAGCGACACCAGCTACAACTGAATTTTTATCCTCGTCCTAAGTCCCAATTGATCCTTCGACATTGAAGACCACGCACCGTGAATTTCTCACGTACGAAACCGTGGGTACAGCATTTTCGCTTAGTCAAGAATGAGAACGCCGGTACGTGATAATTCAAGTACCTAATAAAGCTCGAAAATAAAGCGGTGCTCAGAGGCCACATCGCTGCGTGCGTGCATTTTTTGTAGCGGTCGCACTCCGACTGATTATAATTGCTCGTCAAGAGCAGATGTTGCGAGCATATGGCTGAGCCTAGAATAGTATCCTGCCCGCGCACTGGACGACCTGTACTTGTCTGTGAAATGCTTGGCAATCTATTCTCTCGAAACGATGATTACTACGAGAATGAAGTTTACGTTCGAAGTGATTCAACTCACCATTTTCTTTTTCTGGTCAAAGAATTTAACAATTTCATTTTTTCTCGATTGCAGGTCGAACAAAAGCCGGTACACAAGAGCCACCACCAGGACAATCATGTCTCGCAAATCAGCAAGTCGATCGTCTCGCAAACGAACCACGCGCACTACGGCTCGCCATCGTCCAGTCCCCAGCATCACGAGCTACCCAACGGGAACGTCTCGCGGAATGGCCACGTGGTCAATGGAATGCACTACCAAAAGAACGGCAAATCACCCCAGCAGCAGATTATCGCTCAGGAATGGCGACAGCAGGATGAAACTAATTCACGTTCGGAAGATGCAATGTACGAGGGCAGTAATGGCCAGTCACCGGTGGTCAATGATGGAAAGCACTCGCTCTTGCAGTACGCTATGCTCAACTTCCGCCAGAGCACCGACAAGTTAGTCTCTTTTTTGCCAAACGACATTATTGCGACTTGCGACACAAGTTGGTCTCGATGACTCGGCATGGATTTCAATGAACGGAAACGTAACGCACGAACCGAAGACGTAGTTTATTGCTCGGATTAGAATACCGTCAAAATTAGCGAGAGGTTCGTGAATTTTTTGCCAGGATGAATTATCAGACGTGTCTTTGTTCAACCGAAATACATTAATGGGACGATTTGTCAAAGGCGACACACCTTTACTAGGACTTGTGCATTGTCACCTCAGAATTGATTTCATTTAGAACCGGCAGTTATTCAAATTTCAATTGAAGAGTGCGACCTCCGATTGCGCGCGAGTCGTAAAGAAACGAAGCGCTTCGTTAAAAGACCTCGAGAATCCGTCCATGCATTAATAATTTTATGACGGAAAGTTGAATGATCCATAAAGTCACTGAATGATATTACGGTCTTTCGTAAACAGTCGTTACATTATGAATGAAGTATACATAAAATTTAATACCGACAACGCTAAGGAAAAATATAATCGTCGTTCAGCTTGCATGTAATTTATTTTGGGGCACTTGAAAAAAATTTTTTTAATGATCTAGTTCTAGATATGGAAGCCAGCCGTGATTTGCCTGCGCAAAAAGTAATCAAGCGTTCCAATTTGGAAGCGCACTCCAGGAAGTAAAATCAATGCCGCGAGTTGTCGCAAGAAATTTCTATAATAAGGCAGGCGTAGCGCGCCTTTACTGTTAAGAGTCTACGTGCGCGTGACGAGAAAATATATTCCACAGCAACGTGATATTAAACCATATCAATGTAATTTCAATGATCGCTTTGCGAGCCTCTTAGGAAAAGAAAGCTGCAGCGCCATCACGCATACAATATACGAGTTCAACAGCCACATCTAATCTTGTCCCCGTATATGGTCAACTCGCTCGAGCTTTCGATCCTTTTTTTCTTGCTGCGCAACTAGCGCCGAGCGAAAGTTTTGCCTTGGAAGAAAAATCGTTCTCGTCTGTTTTTGGATGAAAAGTGGAGTAGGCACGTGTCGCGAAGCGAAGAGTTTGGAGCCGAGGCCGAGAAAGCTCATAGCGTGCGCTCGGCCACACGCGAAAGATCATCGCACGAAGTTTGTAGTTGTCGGCGCGGTGGGATGATGATGCCGCGTCTCTCGCATTTGCGCTCGGCTCGCAGCGCGAGTTACACGCATTTTTTCAAACTCGCCGCGAACAGCCGCGTGCCGTTTACCTTTGGTGCTCGGCATATCCGCGAGTTTTCGCTCTATTATTTGCTCGCGGTCCCGTCATTACTGTGCGCCAGAGAAGATAGGAAGATGCCTTGGTCGTCTTGCATGTGAGTTTTGAGCTAACGGTCAGGCGGGAGAGCGCGCAAGACAAAACGTGGAATTAGAAATGATTTTGCCGAGTAATTTACGTTCTAAGTATCCGTTAGCCATGCGCGGACGTGATCGCTAAGAAAAACAAAGCGAGGATCGTTGCGAAGCACGCCCGTCAAAACAGACAATTTGGACTTGACGAACTTGACTTTGCCGCAGATTCGAGATGCTCAAGACAGCGGACGGCTCGATAAGCGGCTCTCTCAAAGTCATCGAGTCGCTAAAGAGTAAGAAGAAAGGCAAGAAGGGCAAGGACGGAGCGGAATGGACGTGGAAAGAGCAAGTAGACCTGGTCAAGTTCTCGGCGGTGCCGATCGAGCAAAGTTTGCTCAGGTTGGACAACGAACTGAGTGGACTGGCGGTCGAGTGCTTCCTATGCCTGATGCGCTACATGGGCGATCAGCCGTTGCCGCCCGACATGAGCGAGGTCAAATGCGTCTATACCATCCTCATGGTCAGTATATTGCATTTCTTACACGGGCTGATAACATTTTTCTTCCTGTGACCGCGAAATTATCGGTGCTCGACTCGGGTTAACGCGGAAATTCAAGTCTAATTATGAATTGCGTGTGCTCTCGTTTTTTTTTTCGGCTTACGCTCGTTAAGGCACGCACAAAAAATTACGTTCCACAAAACCACGAATCGCTCATTGAAAATATATGCCTACGTTCCTTTAGCAAATCTCATTAAAATAATGCAATCTTTGCTAAACCTCAACAGCAGTAAGCAATTTGTAATAGATCATTATTCCCGAGAATTGATCGCACGATTTCGCCAGAACTGTTGGAAAGGATCGAATAGAATTGGTTGCGCAAGCAATGATTTTCGCGTAATTATCGGAAAAATCGGTGATAACTGCAGATAGCCAAGTGCAGAGGGTAATGCGAGATAATTCCATTGCAGCACTGCCACAAGTACGAGCAGCTGCGCGACGAGGTCTACTGTCAGCTGATGAAGCAAACGACGAACAACAAGAGTCCGAATCCCGACAGCTGTCAGCGGGGCTGGCGTCTGTTTAGCATTGTGGCCGCGTACTTCACGTGCAGCGAAGGCCTGAGACCCTACCTCAACAAATACCTGGAGACGGCGGCGTACGACAAGCGACGCGCCTATCACGGCACGGCCACCGTTTGCCTGCAGAATCTGCGCAAGACCGTGAAGTACGGCGGGCGGAAGAATGTGCCCAGCGTCGAGGAAATCATGGCCATCAGCGCCGGCAGAAATGCCAAGAGGCAGATTTATAGGCTGCCCGGTGGCACCGAGAGGGTTATCAATACCAAGTGCACCACTGTCGTACAGGTGAGTCGACGTTACGCCAACCCTTCTGAGAATCCGATCCAGATCGCTAGACTTGTCTTGGCGTCGATTTTGCAGGATGTTATCGAGGAGATGTGCAACGTTATATCCGTACGAAACCCCCACGAGATGGACGAGTTCTCGCTTTACTGCATCGTCGACGGCGACGCCTTCACCATGCCTCTGGCCAGGGACGAGTACGTTTTGGACGTGACGACGGAGCTGCACAAAAATCATCAGCTCTTCTACTTGATATTCTGCAGGTAAGCTGCGCGTGCACAAGCCGAAGATGCGCTCGCCTCGAGAGCTACTGGCGCCACAATCACGATTTTTCTCGCCGTAGGTCGGTCTGGTACTACCCATTGCGTCTGGATGCAGCGCTCTACGTCGAAGTAGTTTTCAATCAAATAGCGCCTGATTACCTGGAAGGCTTGCTGCTGGTTTTGCCCGGAGAGCATTTGCCTCAGGAAGTCATTGTAAGCTAATCAACGCGCTCTGCAATTTCCATGTATTTTAACTCTCAGCTGTACTGATGAGCTCTTCTCTGGTCTGCAGTACGACATGGCACAGATCGCTGCACTGCTGCATAGAGCGGCTGACGTGAAGAACGAAAGGGAAGAGCCGACGACCAAACGAATAAAGTATCTGCTGCCCAAGCCCGCGTTGAGCCTGCGAGAACCGCGACCACAACAGTGGGCCAACATGGTGCAGCAAGCTTGGGCCAATGTGCAGCTCACGTCCATTGCCAATTGCAAGGCGCAAGTACTTGGTGAGCAATCGATCCCGGCGTCGTTTAACGTTGGACAAATTGCGGCGATTCGATGGCTCAATCGTGCCTTACGTTTGTTTCAGAAATACTCTCAAAGTGGCCACTGTTCGGCTCGAGCTTCTTCGCCGTGAAGAGAGTGCCCGAGGGCAAAGAGAAGGGCGGCGACCACATCTTGGCATTGAATCGCCACGGAGTTCACTTTATCGACCTGATAACACACGTAAGTTAATCGATCTTCGAATAGGCGCGAGCTTCCATGGAGATCGAACGAATAACGTTCAATCGATCTTGTTCACCGACTTCCGTAGGAAACGCTCTACCACTATCCATACTCAGAGGTAATCTCAACGCGCAAAGTAAAGTCCGAGGAGGGCACGCTCTACCTGGACATGAAGTGCGGCAACCTGATGCAGCAGCGCATCACGAGGCTGCAAACCGAGCAAGCTCACGAAATTTCCCGTCTGATTCGCCAGTACATTACGATGGAGCAGAGGACTACTGGTAACCAGGGTGCGGCTCCAGTCAACGGCTACGGTCTCAGATAAACTGATAGTCTAGCTTGTTCTTCAAGTAATTTTTGTGCGAGCCGAGTCAGTTTATTATTGTCGAATATTCTCCCCATGTAAATATTATCGCGTAGCAACGACGATTAGTTAACACAAGCGCCCTACTACTCTGTTTACTTGTTTCCCAATCTCCCACCCCTTCTTCATTTTTTATTGTATGTGTACATTAGGTAAGGGCATAGGAATATGATTTTGCGCATTCGGCAAATCAACCAACTGCGAGAGACCAAGTGGAATTATTTTTTGTTCTTTGTTTGAGCTACATATATAAAATCGTACGTTGATTTGGCGAATGGCAAAGCGAAACGTGTTGCTTCTGTCTTCCAGTGGCGAAGTGAGAGAGATAAGAATGATATCCCATGCTGCCGAAGAAGTTACATGTATACTGTTTTCCTTTTTTTTTTATTTGTTTTTAAAAAAACAAAAAATTATATTTCATGTAACATGTTCATTTATCGTGGATTTACACATATGTTTATCACGTAAATACATTCGATTATCATTCAGAAGAAAAAAAGTTTACAGGTAATGAAACTCTTATTATTTATATATATTTTACATATATAAAGTGCAGCAAACAATTGATTGTAAACTATTGTTTCACTTCATTATGGTACAACTTACATGGAGACATGCAAAGTTTAACTAATAATAATATTGAATAAATGTCTTAATAATGAACAAAACTAACCGTTTTGCGATTGTTATTATTGATTATTAACACTGTATTACATTCGTATACATAAGTGTAAAGATGAGATGAGGAGGCGAAATCATGTTGAAAGTTTGTATTAAAAAATTGATATTTTAAAATACTGAAGTATTATTTTATTTGACACGTCAGTCTACTTATTTCTGAGAAATCAATATAAAAATCTCATTTTTTTTTAATTTCCAAATAAAAAAGCAATTAAATTGTAACTTCCAATAAACATGAAAGTAAAATAGATTGAAGTAAGTAATTTGTCAATTTTATATTATTATTAGGAATAATGTACAGTTTTTACATGAAAGCTTTTTTTATTCATAAACATAAACAATTTTATAAGCTCATTTTACTCAGATGAATCTTCTTCAGCTTCCTTCAACCACGTAATAAATGGCAATAAAGCTTTCTTTATTGCTTCGTGTGTATCATGATCTTCTTCCTGTTCATTTTCATCGTCTCTTTGTGATTCACTAAAATTCTGTTCAAACCAATCAATAATAATTTCTTCTCCCAAAATATCCTTGTCATAGAATACACGTAAAATATTTCCAGCATATGGCATCATTAACTTCTTATTTTTACAAATTACATCCCTTATGGCACATAAGCAATCTTTCTGAGCCGATTTTGTTTTCATGTAATTGTTAATTATAGGTTCTACGTAATTTATAACTGGTATTAAAATTTTATAATAATCTTTAAACTGAGAATTATCGCCTGTCTTGAGAACGTGAAATGGTAAAGTGAAAGATGCTTGAATTACACTGTACAACACTTGCTCACTACTAATATTTTGCGCCAATCTCGATGAATTTATTTCTAAAATTACATTTTTATGATAAAGCTTATCTTCGTAACCACTCAGTAAATTTTCAATAACATCAGATAAGAATGTCTCTTCATTTATTTCTTCTTCAAGAGTTTCTGGCATTGGTGAATCATTTGTGGATGATGATGAAACAGATGTTGAAGTAGATAATGCATCATCATTGTCATTATCTTGATCAAATTTGAAATCACAAAACATACTTGAAAAGCTAGTATCGCAATTCTCTACAAATTGTTCCATTGTTCTGACTATCATCTTTCCACTATCATTTATTTCAATAACTGAATTACAATAATTTTCGTTGCAAACAACATTTGGCAACAATATACATGTATTTAATTTGAAATTCTTTTTCAGTAAACATTTTGAAAAGATGATTGAGTCTTTAATGTGGCAATAATCTTCAATCACTGTATCGGAAAATATATATGAATCTTCTATGCATACATTATTTCCTATTTTACAGTTGGCACCAATAACAGTTCTTTCAACAGAAGAATGTGTACCTAGAAAACTATTTTTACCCATAATTGACTCTGAATGCAAAATAGAACCTTTTGACACCACTGAACTACAGTGCTTATATGTACTTCTAGACATGTAAATAAAGTTTTTCAAATATATTGGTAAAGTATCAGGAACTAAAGGATAACTATGTCGTTGCAGTATATCTCTGCAGAGAATTCTGTAAGTTTCTTTTGAACAGATTGGCAAAGCATAACTTGGACAAGCCAATGATTCCCAATAAATTTTTGAATTCAAAAATTCTTCATTTATCAAAACACCATGTATAAAATCTTCCATTGTCTGAAAAAAAGAATAAATTAAAATGTGTAATTTTTATGAGTTTCTTGCAAAATCAATTCAAAGTCTTTTGTCGATATAATCTAATTTTAAATATTATAAAACTTCTTTACCTGAAAATCAAAATTATCTGCAAACAAAGGAAGAACAGCTTGAGAGCACATGTAAATTCGTGTATCGAGATGAGAAGTATCAATGCTAACTTTATTATGCTCCAGGAACCATTGCAGTTCAAGTTCAATTTTATCTTCATTTGGAACATTTTTCTTGTACATTAAAATCTTTTTCGTAGGACTGTTGGAAACAACAAGATTACATTCTTTCTTTAATATAGAATCTTTCATATTACCAAGATTTCTTAGAATCATGGTCATAACAGTAGTTTTATCCTTCTCTCTACGAGCTTTATGCAAATCCATAAGTTGACTCAAATCTAAATTACCAAATGCTGTACCACGAATGAGAATAAAGTCATTTCTGATGAACCCTTTAGTATCAATATCTCTAAGAGCATCTCCTAGTGACTGACAACCATCAGATATTATAGGCACAATATTAATATTCTTATATACATTTTTCAAGGAATCCAGATATGTCTTTAGAATTTCCAGATGACTACTACAGTATAAAAATATTTGTTCCACCTTTGAACGAATCAAGGTATCCAATGTAAATTCCAACAATGGACAAGTAACAACTGGTAGCAGTATGCTAGGATATACTTGATCCACAGGTTTGAGATCATCAATAAAGTCACTGGCAAACACAATTGCTTGAAGGCTTTCTTGTTTATCAAATCCATTTTTCAGTACTTTCTTTCTTGTGATAGCAGACATATTTTATTGTCTATATTTAATGTGATACACAGCTAAATATAAATAAAAATAGTGCTTATATTTAAATATGTGCTATTTAAACATTATTCATTTTTTGTACTTAATTATTACTTACATACTGTAATAGGCTTCTCTACAGGTACGACCAATAAGTAATACAGCAACTTCCACCACTCATGAGGCTTAAATTAATATTCTATATCTATTGCATTTTTCAATTGTCTCTATATAGTAATTAATAAAAATAACATCGACGATATAGAAAATAATTATGGAATTCACTTTTACACGGGGCACATGGTAGATCGGTAGCAATCTCCTATTCTATTTCATCACTTGTTTCATTAGGGTCTGTCTCCATAGGGCCTGCCTGAGTCCGTCCGAGCCGGCCGAGATTTTTTATGGGCACGCCATCTCTATAATTTCGTGTTCATGCGTTTCTCGTATTGGCTGCGTCCGATCGGGCTCGTTTATGTAAACGCAGCCATTCACTATGAAACTCGCCATTGGATACGAAATTATAGAGATGGCGTGCCCATAAAAAATCTCGGCCGGCTCGGACGGACTCAGGCAGGCCCTATGGAGACAGACCCTTAAGCATCTATGTCCGTTGTTTCATGGAGACTTCCATGCATTGTTTACACTTTTTCATATATTCGTTTAGGCAGTAGCGCCACGTAACGTAGAAAATTAAAACCAATCTGCCACTGCTGCACTGGCGGTGATGCGCGGGAAATATTTGAATGGCCATTATTGCTTATTTAGTTCGATTTATTATTAGATAAAGAACTTTCATATGCTTAATTTGATAATTTTTTTAATTACACCGATGAATTCCTATATGATTGCAAAAAACTGTCGATTCAATTCAGTGGAACATACAAATATACGCACATACAAGTTGGAATTTTAGAGAATCAGCCTGAAGAATAGAAGAAAGATATATTGTCTGCATCTCCAAAAACGTGTATCTTGCAAATAATTATCTTGTGACTACAGACCAAGATATACCTTTATCGTCTGATGTATAGATAAAAGTGGAATAAAGTTTTATAACTCAGGTTTTAAGAACTTACTTAATAATGTTAATAAAAAGTTAAAACTCATAATTTATTCATGAATTTTATTTATTTTCAAAAATATAACTTATGTTAAAACTTTTCATGGGCCAGATTGTCGTATATATTTATATATAATGTCGCGTCGTAAGCCGCACCTTCAGCATTTATGCCACAGCTAGTTTACTACTGCGACTCTTCGTGAATTGTATTAATAAAATTAATAAAAAATTAACAGTCTCTGTTTTTTTCTCGTGATATTTATATAACTTTAGTTCAGTACATTTTCAACTACGTACACAAAACGATAAAATTAACGATAAAATAAAATTTCCATGGAAAAAATTTTATAAATATAAAAAGTATAATTAAATAATACATATTTAAACAATGCAATTAAGTCTTTAACGAGTAACCGTTTCTCAATAAAAATGTCAATGGCAATGTATTACATTTCAGATATACAAATGAAGTTTTTCCTTCGTATAGAATAATCAACGAGGTCAAGAGCCAAACGACTTTTTCATTCTATAAACATATATATGTAACAAAATTGACATTGAGACATTACATAAAAAAGGAGTACAGGAGCTATGATAAAAAGGTGGAGTGTTTCATTCGACTCAACGAATAACGTTTTTTCAAGGATTTGTGATGTACACACGCTCGTAGAAAATACTTTCCAGGGAAAATTTGGCATACCGACGCAATAACAAAGCCAATGACAAAATGTGTTGATGTCCATGTTTAAGCAGAGTATGGCAGAATCGTCAGCGATCACGCACGGGATTGGATTGTAGATGAGGCCAATTGCTAGCAGCGTGCCTAACGAATCCAGGATCATTGGGCGAGGCAGGAGTGTGCGACTGCCTAGACGACTTGGCGGCGTTGGTTGTAGTTTGGGTGGCGGTCGTAGTCGTCGTCGACGTTCTCAGCGCGTCGAAACATTCCTCCAGCATCGCGATCTCGTCTCGCTGGCTGGCCGCCGCTGTCCCTGTCGTGGCGGCGCTCGGCCGAGAGCCTCGCGAACGACGCCGATCTTCGAAGGATACGTCGCGCTGCCTCTTTAAGATTCCTGGGGAAGAGCCGCGCATTCGCGTCGGCACGTTGTCATATTGACTCGAATCGGATAACCTGCAAGCCCCCATACGACAGCACGTTCACCGAGCCGACAATTACAAAATCGGGTAGAAGGGTATGATCGACACTTTCTTTCAGTTCTATTTTTAGTTTGTGCCAATGAAAACGTACTTTTGCTCCTTTGAGCCTGATTTTCATGTGACGTGATTAACGTGATTAAAACACTGATGCTTCGAGTGTGCCAAGTTGAAGGAATGAAATGAACGAATAATGCTTGAACAGATGCATTAACTGCCATAAAAAATTGTTATTCTACACGCTGCTGCGCTCGATTTTACCAAGCGAATAATGCACTGTATAATTTGATGCGGTTTGATCGGGCGCTCGGTGAAAACTACAACTTTCTACGTTGGCTAATAACACAGAATCTACATGAAGCTCAGAGTTACAGTTTCACATCGTAAAATCGAGCGGATCTCCAACAAATACAAAATAATTTCACTCTTTTCATTTTCAAAAAGTCGGTCGTTTTAATAACGAAAGTATAAAATAAGAAAGTATAAAAGTTTCCTTCAACGTTTTTTTTTGGAGTACAAAACACAATCGCACATCAAAAACAAAAGAAATCAAAAGGGGAAAAAACCAAGTGCGTCGCTAAGTGTGCTTCTACCAGACTTGTTGAGTTAGAAGCGTGTGCAAAAGCGCAAACAACAACAAAAAAAAAAGAACAAGCTACTGAGATGTCGATTAGAGCATCCAGTCACCTTTTAGACAATCCTGAAAACGAGCGTGACTTGCCTGTAGTTGTCGTAGCCACGATCTTCGTCGCGTTCAACGCGCATTATCTTCACTCCAGGATTCACCATCTTGGCGAAAACTGGTCGCTCGTCACTGTTCGTTGGGAAAGGCGGTGCGTCGTCCACCTCGTCTACTGGCCTTTGATATACATCTTCCCTATAGTAGCTATTCGATTTCCTCGACATGTCGTGCTGATCTCTCTGCAGTTTGATTTGATTTTATTTTATAGTTGGCAAGAGTGAGCGAACAGAAAAAAACATCGACCGATAGGTTACATTCAAAGTCTATCAATCCGTTATTAATGTTGTTCTCCTAATGTTTATCGTCATCGTAAAAATGACGCTTCATTATCCCGTAATTACACTATGTAATAATAAAATTCACATTTAAGTTCTGCTTGCAGTAAGTGCCAAGGTCGTAAAATCGCGAAAGATGCTAAGAAGACGCTAGTATAGCTAATTTACCGATTGTTTAGCACGACCATTACGATCACCACGTCCGTTCTCGATATTCTGCGAGTATTCGCGCATCTGTCGCTCGGCTCTCTCGAGTCGATGCTCGCGCTCGTCGTCGAGGTCGGTGGCCGAGCCATTCATACTGTTGTGCTTCTCCGTCATCTCTGGGGTTGGCGATCGCCAACTCGTCACGTGCTTGGTTCCCGACGCCGACGACTGCTTTTCTTTCTCGCTGTTTATCGTCATGGTCGTCGTTGTCACATACTGCTTGCCTGCTGCGAACAGAAAAACGACACCCGCGTGTTGTGGCACACAGCGCGGCTCTTGTCCACGCTCTCTTCACTAGCTTTATTATTCCTTTTATTAAAAATGTTTTTACTGTTAATGGCACATGGGTATGGTGTTGAGGCAACCGTGCGTGAGATTTTACACGTGGAAAGTGAGCAAGCGCCGCATGATGAGTATGAAAGTTTAGTTACACTTTTGGTCTTGTCGAACGCGAACCATTACTACCGTTTTCGTGAACAGGAATGTCGGAGCTCGGCAGATCAAGATTTCTCCTGTTTACCGTCTGACCTAATGCTCATTGTACTGCAACGACCTCGATATGCTCATATAATCGTATATAGCAGAAACTGTATCACATTAAAATAGTTAGGAAGTTTAGACGGCTCATACGATAAATATTCTCGTGTTATTTATGTGTCATACATTTTTCATAATTTCCGGATAAATAATTACAAATTCTTTGGTAGACCGCGATAATTTTCTGTTTTCAATAGATTCAATCACTGGCATATTCAAAACAATCATAAATTTCAGATCAACAATACACTCGTTTAAATAAAGCTTTCAGAAAGGTGAAATATTTTCCTTTGTCTGAATACGCTACTCAAGAATGGAAATTGAATAACATTTGTATTTTTCTACCTTCGTCAGTCACATTAGCGGTTTTAACTTTTTTTTTTGCTATTGCGTAAGGCGTAGCCTAGACAATCTTTGAGTCATCCACGATGGTTTTCTTTTTCTTTCGAGACCAACAAAAAATTCGAACGATAATGAAACTGTAATTGAAATGTCCTTTGGCTAAGTTAGTTTTGCCGATACATTGATATTTTAAAGAAAGAATCGCGATGAGGCAAACGATTGCTGATTAAATGCCTTTCACAAGCATCGCGTCGACAAGCTGTAAAAAACAATTTCACACGTCGAGCGGCTAGTTGTAAGCGAAGTACAGATAGAAGTTTTGAGCGTAGAAAAGTAACAAAAAGAAGCAGGGACGCTGCGGGATGTGAGATATCGGTCCACACGAGGTCGTACGCGTATTGCGAGAAAAGAGCGTAACGGCACGCAATAAGAACACTCGTACACAGGCAGCTCTACGTCTGTGTACGAGCGGTTGTTTGTTAGTGACAATATAATCGTGACAATTGCTTGTGCTACTGCGGATTTCCATGAATACGAATTGAGGCTAATTAGAAATCATGACGCGAGCTATTACATTTCGGACGATTTTGATTTCGATCGAGGTACACCATAATATACGTAATACTCATTACGTAATCTGAGCGTCAAATGTGACTCGAGTTATTTATTTCAGTTATCTTGGCTGTGACTGAATTTCGAATGCCGAAAGTTTCATCTGATAAAAATTACTCGCCCGTGTATTATTTTCTTATTTTTATTAGCGCGTTTCTGGATTTCAAAATAATTCAGTGTTGACGAAAAAAGAGAGACTCGACAATCCAGAACAACTCGATTTAGTAACGAAGACAATAAAAGGATACGGTGAAATTTTGAAAAACCAATCGTCAATTTTGATTTACACTTTAATGAAAGCCAATGAGATTATACATGTATTCCCTTAAGCCTACGAATAATTGTGCTCAGCCGAGTGACAATTGCTAATTTCGAGACGAATGAAAAGAAAAGTTGCACGCGTACAAAAGTGACGCGCACGTGCGCAAAAGACGTGCGCGCACACTCAAAATTTACTTTCTGTGCGACAGACCTTGTTCCTTGGCTGACGTCGTCTGCGTGGCGTCGTGCTTCTTCTTCTTGTAGCGCGGTTTCATCAGCATGTCCGCGATGAAAACGAGAGCTGTCACGAGGCACAGCACACCCAAAATCACGGCGTTGTCGATCAGATCAATGGGCACACTGTCGATGGAGGACAATGCCAGGCCGCCAACGATGCCGAAAAGGATCACTCCCAGGCCCAGGAAAAACACCTCCTGATTGTTTTTTTTTTGTCATTGGCGCGATTAATTTACCTTGCATTTGCAAACTATTTTCCCGAATCGGCTAGTCGAGCGAAGTGTCGAGGATAAAAGTGAATATAATGCATTATACAACCGCGAAATGATTCACAACGATAGTGCGTTTATATTAGGGTATACAGCGCACAGCGAATAAGCAATAAATTCAATTTCACGCGCGATATGTATTTTTGCGCTCGCTTGTTATAAAATCGCAAGAAAAAATATTGATCTTATCACATGGAGCGCGAGCGCGCGCGCGTGTGGCAACCGATTCCCGCGATGTATGTGAATAATGTGAAACCTCGCAATCGCGGCGCCGAATAGTTAACAAATCAGTGATCCCAAGCGCGAATTTCCTCTAGATTCCAACGATCGCTAGCGAGCACGCGCGCGACAGGGCTGGCATAAATCAGCCGAGGTGATTTTTCGCCCATGTAAACGCAATACAACGTCATACAATAATAATTAGCTTATTCAATTGCAGTCTCGAGTCTCACACTGCGCATGGCAAGCAGACCATAATAGCCGTTCGCGAAACTATAAGCCCTCGCGCGCCTAGACGCGCGCGTACTTTGCGCAAGGGATATTAGTCACACAGCCGAAAAAGGTTGTCGTCTGCGTGCGCGCGGGCCCCCATTGTTTTATGACGCGTAACATAGAAAAAAAAAATTCTCGCACGCGCGTATGTCCTCCTTCGAAAAATCGAGTCCTTCGACGTGCAACGTTGGCAGGCGTGACCGTTTGCGCAGGTCGCGAGCGAGCCGAAGGAATAATACAATCTCGCTCGAGGTTCCTCGCGCACCGTTAACGAGGGCGCTACGGCGTGCGTCATCGCCCACGCCTTTGCGTATCTCGCAGGACACCGCGTCGACCTTGCTGCGCCTCGAGAAAACCCTCAATGTCGCGCGCAACGTTCTCACGCACCGAGATGCTGCCGCGCGTGCACGACCTGCTTCTCCTCTCTCTTTCCTTCCTTCGAGCGGAGCGCGCGCGCGTATGCACCTCTCGTTACGCGTCGATCTTAATCGCTCATTAGCATCCACGTCTCTTCTGCTATTCGACGAGCGAGACGCGCGCTCGCGCCAGGTGGCCGCGCCGAAAGACGCTGACGGACAAAGTGGGCCTCGAGTCGCGCGAGCGCCGTCGTCCCTCTTTTTCATTTTCGAGTATGCAAATTTTCGGGCGAACGCGTGCTCCGCTCTGCTCTACATAATACGCCAAGGATTTCGCGTGCGATTTGCGCGGACTTGCGGTTCGCGCCATGAATAGCGCTTGTGGATTCCATTCGAGTGACTATAAGCGCGGGAGCGACGCGCGAGAAACGTCTCTCCCGAGCGAGCGGTGCGTTCTCCGCGGGCAGGCGCCTCCGGTCGCGCCATTAAAACGCGATAAATCTCGTTGAGTTTGTCCGCGGATATATGTCGCATTCGGCGCCGCGGCTGTGGCTTTCGTCTCGATATTGAGCGGTGCGCCTTATTGCCAACGAATACACCGCGGCACAAGCGAACACCAGGACATTTGACAAATCGCTGGACTTGGCTTTTTCTTTCAGTCGGAGTACGCCTCGCCCACAAATCATAACGACCGAGCGCACTTGCACGGACAATTTACGCGTTTGCTTGTGTAAAGCGGACTGATTAGGTAATTGCAGTACGCGCATGCAGCTTCGCTCGAGCGACTTTTCGATCGCGGCCGTGCGATGCCGAGGTTCATCAATTTCAACTCACCGTCTTCCTTCCGCGAAGTTCACCAGAGGCGGCAGCGATGAGCAGACCGATGGTGACGATCAAGTAGCCGGCGCAGGTGGCTGACGAGAAGGCGGAACCTGCGAACACGTCACGTACGTGCGTGTATAACAAGTGCATCGCACGACGCCGTTCTTTGGTTTTGTCGTTAACCTCGTAGACTTTTCGCTTTCCCTTTCTTGTCTGTTGCACACTACTGCTGGGAGCGGCGACGGTTATCTGCTTGCCGCCACGAGGTGATAAGTTCGCAGTGGTTTCGCCGAGGCTCGAAGAATTGAACGACGGTCGAAGGCACTTTCGCGCGCGCGCGGCGGAAATGCGAAGCCGCCTCGCGGTGAAAAAGTCATTAACGGAATGGGCGTGCACGCGTGCACGCGTCTCCACGTGAGAAAGAAAAATTAGAAAAGTCCATTTCAATCTGCGTCGTCGCGTTAATGGGTCTCAGCGCGCGAGCCGCAAAAAAGTAAAGGAAAGAAGATGGAAGAAAACAAAATTTTCTTCATTTTTTTGTTGCTACAATAGCACACATTTCGCAAGATTCGTTCGGGACCGACTATGGGCTCCGCGCTGAATCAGTCGCTTGCGGCAAAGTGTACGTGCGATGCAGGAAGCGAAAACTGATTCGAACAGCTATTATCCGAGCGTGACCCATTTCGATACTTAATTCGTGCACGCAGGACCAAGCAGCAAGACCACGCCGTCGAGAATACGGGCTGCCGATGATCTATCGCCAAAGATTAGTCATCGATTCACGCCCACCGCGTGCAAGCTTCTTTCGCCGCGCGCCTTTTTTATTGCCGATTGTTCGTGAATCTCTTTCGGCTTACGTCACAAATGGAGGAAAGAGTCGTTAAACTTACCAACGGCTCCCCACGTGACATTGTTTAGGAGTGACCACTCGCGGCTCCTATTGCGCAGGTAGTGGAACACTCGTCGGCTCTCGTCATCCGTCACCCTCAGAGCAATCACGCACGCGATGCAGAGTAGCTGCGATTACGAAAACAACAAGCACATATGCATGGCTATTAACGAAATTTAACTGGACTATGGCGACTTCTCTTTTCTTCCTCTGCGTCGTTGCGTTGCATCGTGGCGCTAGGTTTCTTTTTTATTCCCACGCGTTTCAAGGCTATCTCACACGCGTAACAGCCAGGAATGTGGGCCAAAAATACTTAACGAACATACTATTATCCCGCGGCTCTACGTTCTCATCAACAAATGAAAATGTTACGAAATACGACGAACGGATTGCGAGGAAAAAGAGGGAAGTAATGCGATTGGCTTTCCTTTTTTTTAATTTTTTTGTTATAGTTGCCAATCGGGCCTTTTCAAAATCTACACTTACCACCTCGATAATCCTGATGAACACTTTTCGGTTCCACATGATTTCACAGCGAGAGCAGAGCTCGTGCTACTCGCGTAGCTGATACACACTCACATTCATACACTAGCAATACTGCTGTATACTTGTGCGCGTCGTATAGACTCTAATCAAAGGAAGGTCGAGCGCGATTTCGAACGAAAGCAAGCCTCACAAACACCGATGTTGATCTTTTTTGCTTCCATCGAGTCACCTTCTCATCTGCACGTTTTCTCTTCGCAATTGCACTCTTGGAAAAAAAACATCAGAAACAATTATTCGAAGGCACACTCGATTTTTCACTGCATATGTAGAAAAAAATCGACAATTTTCATAGTTTTACAGCAATAACTTTGTAAATCGAAGTAGTGAAAACATTGCGCCGATTCAAAATTTTATTCAGCAAGCCATCGAGTGTACTATTATTTCATAAGTGAAATGATTCATGATTCTTAAAATAAAAACCCGCGATGAAATATTTATGTTGCAAAAAGAAAAGAAAATCAGATGGTTGCCCGATCGATGATTATTCACTCACCCTCGATCGTGAAAAATCTCGACGAGAGTAATGAGTGACTGATCGCTTGAAGCTTCTAAAGAGTCACGATAGAGAGGAGTGGATGGAAGTGCGTGCACTACTCGCACGGCCAACGACGACTGAACTCGACGGCGGCGGTGGCGGCGAGTTCGCAGGACAGCGCGAGGAGAGCAGATAAAGGCCGCGCGACTAGGTGGCTCGCGCCTCGCGCTGCTGTTGGCCTGCACGGATTGTGTCACGTAATGAGACCTGCCTTATACACGTGCATATGCGCAGTGTATATTCCCGCTGAAGACAATGCCATTATCGTCGCTGTGAGATATACCAACGACGACGTATAGAAATGCGGCGTGGGCGAGAACCCATCGCTAGTTTTTATGGCAGCAGTCTTTGTACTAGCATGTCGCGTCTTTTCAGCCGATTTGTTGCTCCAATGCGTCTGATAAAGAGTTCCGCTTTTATGAAATCTCAGACTTGCTCGTTTTTTTTTCATTGTGTCTCGATTTCCGCTGAGATGCTAATCTCGCTTTCTCCTTATTTAGTTGATCTACATTCCTTGGTGCGTCGCGGGACATTCCTTTCAAGATCAAAAGCCACGCAAATATTAGTTAACGATTGAAACAAGCATCCATGTGAGAAATTATAACAAAAGAAGTTATGGCATAATCGGTGGCACCTGCCGTTAATACCCAGTAGTATCGCATTTCACAAATCATGTTTCATATAAACTTACAACGCGAGCCAATGATTCCACCTATCAGACTACAAAAGCGGACTGTAATATTTATTCTCAGTGAATTGTCTGAAAGCGAGGAGTATAGAACAATCACGTACATTATTGACAATTTCAAATAAGTAACGAACGAGGCGTATTTGTTTTTCGACGAACCTATATCATATCGGTAACAGGCTGTCGTTGAATAAAGACTCGAGCGATACATTCCCCCACCTATTTGACCCTTACCTCTTAACCCACCACCAACCGAAAGCCAGAAGTATTAGCTGAGATGATTGGCAGAAGTTGGCGATACGTTTTGTTCGTGTAAGTGCGCCTCAAAAATCCACGAAAAACAAGATCCAACGCAACATTCGTACGCAAGCTGCAGTCTGGTGCGATCTCGAGTCGCGATTTTTTGTGTGCACACGTCTAACCTTTGAGTTTCTTTTTATTGTTCTGCAGATTGCACTATCGAAACACGTTTTGATTCTTTAAAGAAGTGATGAATCCTTGTTGGCAGTATGACAATAAGGACGATCTAGAACATGGTGATACGCTACACAAACATTTTTTACGTAATGAGGATGAGTTGGGCCACAAGATACCCAAAATCTTCACACGGTCCTTCCTATATGTTTCAAAAAATACAGGTAAGTGATTGCAAAATAACTTTTTTCTTGTGTTTTGCAGCAATTAACGTTCGCGTGAATATGTACAACCCAAAATATAGGCGGATTTCTAAGAAGCACTGCTCATTTCCGTCTCGTATCTTTTGTCGGATGGTTGGATCCTTACGTACACATAAATAAACGTTAATTTTTTTTTTCTTTTCATTTCAGTTTGTTCTTTCACTTATTACAATTAAAATTGTATTTCAGTTTCTTGTGTTAATGACAAAATTTACTTTTGAAAAAATGCTTGCATAGATGCAAGCATTATTTGCCTTTTGATCAACTTTTTATTTTATGTTAACAACAAATAATTTTCATCTAATTATCTTGCAACTTAGATTAGTGAAATATATTTGTTTCGCTTAATAAGTCACTGTGTTTTAGAAAAATATTTATAGTATAATTATTTATTTTTACAGATGTTAAAAAATCAAAAAAGTCAATCTCATTAAACACCTCATCTCAAGAAACATTACTAAATATTGATGATACTTTCAAAAATCAGCAAAAAATACTTGATCTACAGCATGAATTAGGAGTGACAATTGTACAAAAGAATGGTCAAAGAAAATTAGGTGGACCACCTCCAGGCTGGGTGGGACCTCCTCCTGGAGCTGCATGTGAAGTCTTTGTTGGTAGAATCCCAAGGACTGTTTATGAAGACAAACTCTATCCAATCTTTAGTCAAGTTGGTGAAATATATGAGATGCGCCTTATGATGAACTTTTCTGGTACAAACAGAGGATTTTGTTTTGTTATGTACACAAAACCAGAATATGCTCAAGAAGCTATTAAAAAATTGAATAACTACCCAATCAATGGTGGATGGCAACTAGGAGTGGTAAAAAGTGTAAATAATTGCCGCTTACACATTACCGAATTATCAGCTAGTACTGATGCTAAAGCTCTGATTGAAGTAAGTTTAACATTTATTACAAACTTAGAGAATTTATTGCAATGTCTGATTATTTTATATTTTTCAGAAAATTTGGCCACTACTGGAAGATATTGATATAATATCAGTTTTCACTAATTTAAGCAATTGCCAAGTTAAACATGCTTTGATATCTTTCAAAACACACAGAAGTGCAGCTATGGCTCGTAGAACTCTTTTACCCGAGCGTAATTATTATTTTGGTAAAACTGATGTGAGAATTGAGTGGGCACATCCTAAATTTTACATTACTAATGTGGTATGTATTATTAATTTGATAATTTCATTATCTTTTGTAACTCTTGCCCTCAAAGATTTTGCATTATACTATTTGAGTAACATCTTAACACTCTCATCTAAGAGTAAATTGTAGATAAGTTTTGGCAAATTAAGATTATTTTGTACATAGAAATTTATACAAAATAATCCAAAATTATATACAGCAAACTAATTAAAATTACTAGACGGTACCAACAGCAACATTTTGATTTATGATGCTACTCTGAAAATGTACAAAAATATTTGAATAGCGAAAATTTAAAAGAACGAAATATGCGTTCGATGTAGAACAATAATGGTCAAAGGGAGGCCAAAGCACTGGCAAGTATGATTCTCTATGGAAAAACGAGTATAATGACGAGTCGCGTTGCTATCGCGTGAAAATAGAACGTGGGTACTTTCGCTGAGCGATGGCTTTTCACTCTCGACCCACGTACATACATACCTATATGCATGCTTGTTAATGTTTTTCCGTCCAACATTTAGCAAACGTTCGATTTTGCGATTCCCCTTTTTACGTTTACTTTTCTTACGTGTATCACTTGGCGGAATCTAGCACGCCAGTTTGATTAGAAAAAAAAGAAATGCTGTGCACCTTCGCACCTCGTGATAAATGTGGCATGCGCAAATGAGTGTCTCCAACAGTATTAATGATCACTTACAACTTTGCTATAAATCGTTCGGGATCTTCTAATTAAAATTCGTGTTTGTTTGCTAAATTTCAATGGTATTTCGGAATTACATTTTTATTAAATTAAATTCATAAATTTGATTCACTCAAAATTTGATTTTTGACATATTTATTGTTTTTTTCTATATTTAAATCGCAAAGCCCGAGTCAAAATCATTTGGCATTTGCAAAACGCGGCTGCACGGTGCGTTGCAACAAATGCGCAAAATTGAGGAAAGTTGTCGACAGACGGCAGCACCTCGAGTACAGTACCTAAGTACCACCGGTGTAGTTTACCAAATCAGTTGACACCGCTGGTTGCTTTCCGAGTGCCTGTGCGCGACAATTGATTATTTTTCCATTGATCATTTTTGAAAGAGAACATTGAAAATGAGTGATAAGAGCGAATATTGTGACTACAGGAGTCCTTTAGCAACGCGCTATGCCTCTAAGGAGATGCGTTACAATTTCAGCGACCAAAACAAGTTCAGCACGTGGCGCAAATTGTGGATTTATCTTGCCAAAGCTGAAATGGTTTGTTTTAGTTCTTTTAGGCTTTTATCTAAAAATTAATTTATAAATTTTTTGTCTGAGGGCTTTGTGTTTTTTCAATTTCTACAGAATGATAATATTACGTGAGTAATTAAATATGTTTTACTGTGTTATCTTTGTTTGTGTTGGAAAGACAATTTAAAAAAAACGATATTTTTAAAATAATTTAGAATTATTAAAAATTTAGATATAATAAAACGCATGTTTAAAAAGACATTAATTAAAAGATCCCCTAGGAGTATTTACGAAACTTCAGGTCATCCGAGGTCATCTAATCAGTTGTTTGTACATGTTTATGCCGGTTTATAGTGCGATATTTATTTCAAAAAACTTAATTGCTAAATTGACATCTAATCGACGATCAAACGCAAATTTCGTTCTTTTTAGGCGATACAACCGGACTTTGAATTAAATTATAAAATTAACATTGATCTTTTCTGGCTATGCAATTTCTTTGCTGTTAATGATAATGTTAGATTCAGTCTCAACTTAAAAATGTGGTTGAGTGACATTGAATATATTGCTAGTTCAAATTCGACATTGGGATTATGGTTAATAGGTTATTTTATTTATTTGAAGCTTGAAGAATGTGGAAAGCTTAATAGTGATGGCAAATTGGTTATAAAAAGTATCGCTATTTATGGTAACAAAATGAATCATTCAAATGATTACAAGAAAAAACTAACAAGCTCTTCCAAATCACGGAATATTGAGATTCTAAAAAGTCGAAAATGTCCCAGCATTAATAAACAGAAATGTGTTGTTAATAAAGAAAAACACAATGCAATGGTTAATTATGATTTGCCAAGTTCTTATGATGCAGTCAGTTGTAATAACAGCCATAATTATGAAAAATGTCAAATGAATCAGTATCATCATTCAATATCATCTGATGAATCACTATCAGATTTTTCTAAAAGCTCTGAATGCGATGAGTTTAGATGCTTAAGTTGTAGTCGAAATTACAACATGCCATTGTACTATAATGTTCCAATATTTTCAGATCCTAATAATTGTTCAGTTGTTCAATATCCATGGGGATTAAATAACAATTTTAGTGTTTTCAACGAAAATTTGAATATTCAACAAAATGCTGCTATCCATCATGTATCATTTCCGTGGAGAACAATGAACAATCAAAACAATGTGATGTTATCAAATGCTATGATCAATTTTAATCAAAGATTGAAATGCCATATTCCTAAGTTAGTTATAAACAATTATAACAGTGTTAATGCTAGGCCTATTTTGAATCGTAACTTATAAATCTATTTGTTATCAAACCTTTTAACGATGTACCAAACTATATCATGCTAAAATTTTATTTAATTTGCATACTTTAGTAAGCTTATTGTTTCTTAAAGATAAATATGAATTTTTTAATTTATTTAAATTATTTGTACATTAGTACACAGAAAATATTACTTTTTTTGTTTATTTATTGTTCCATTAAAAATTATGAGTTTTGCAAGATGGAAAATTTTTTTATTGTAGTTTTAAATGATTAGTTTTACTTCAGTATAAATGCAAATTAGTGTTGACAAAGATTTTATATAAAATTGATCTACATTCATAATTGCAAATGAGCAGTATTGTAAAGATTTTTACTCTCATCATTGAAAAAGTGCCTTTCTTAATAATGTTATTTACGATATTGAGATCTATAAAAATCAAATGTATAATGTTTAACCAAGATTCATGATTTGACTTGAATGAATGGCATTTTATAATATTTCAAATGTTTGACTTTTTGCATGAATAAGTATGTTTTTAATCTTTGTCGTCTGCATGTAACATTTGTTCATTGAGTGTTTTTTGACTCCCAGATTTATTTTAATACAGTTTATCACTATTATCTATTAATATACAGTACTTGAACTACAAAAGAAAGTTGTGAGAATGTGAAATTGTAATTTTTGCATTGCATAATAAATAACAGTTAATTAAATAATTGTATTGTTTTTCAAAGGCGTTCGCTAAATAAATAATTTAATCGTATTCAATTTATTTTTTTATTAATCGACACGGAATTTATATCAAACAAGGATAAATCATGAAAAAGATAATAAAAACTTGAAATGGAAAAATAAGTTTGCCATCTTGCTTATTCCAAAACTCAGCTAAATTTGAACTTATCTTTTTAATCTGTAATTGTGAAAAATCACGTAAACACACATATGCACGCACGCCCAGAGGTGACTGAGAAAGAGCGAATTGGCAAACGGCGCATACGTGAGTCTCTCGAAAAGAAAGCGAAAACAAAGAACTAATGGGCTTCGAGCAAGATCAACAATGGACAATGCCGCAAGGATAGACGAATCTCGGGGGGAAAATAAGGAGGACACGGTCACCTCGGTCGCCACGCGGTTTCCGGCCACCGACCGCGAGTATATGGGTAGGGCCTTTTTTACTCGTTAAGCGGAAACCTTTGCACGATGTCGACGATGCGCATGACGCAAGTTTCATTTCTTTACTTCTCATGTATCTCCAATTTTTTCTAGCAGTTCTGAGGAATTATTATTCCCTCTTGTGTACCAATTCAAACAATCGTTCACCTTGTATCAGGAAACCGAATTTCTTAGATACACTTGTGAATAATTGAAGTAACTTACTTTAAGCTTAAGTTACGTGGCAATTGCTTTATTAATAACCGTAGAGGAAGATCAGTATGACATCGAGAAGAAAGAGAATGGCACACGTCAAAGAAAAGATCGAAGCGATGATAAGTCTCCAAACTGAAGTTACGCTATCCTTTTTCGAAGCAAAAAATATACCAACAGCAGCTACAACGAAAAACGCGGCGCCCACTACACCGAACAAGAACATCTAGGGGAACAAATTCATACCATATCAATGAAGATGAATTTCACGGAATGGAAGAATCTGAAATATTATTTACTTTAGACTAACCGGTGTATCGGTGATTGGATCATGAGCGCATTGACTTATCATGTCTACAAGAGTTATGAGAAGGAATGTTCCGAAGAGACCTGTAATTGCCACTGCCTCAGTTAGTCCATACGGTGAATCATTGCTAATGATAATCTGGCACGTTAAAATGAACAGTACTAGCACGAGAATCTGCCTTAGACGAAGAAATATGTAAATGATAATCAAAACTTATCATTTCGTAAAACTCCTCGTTGACATATTGTTAATGTGTCTCATTACAAACTGAAATATCCTGATTGGCTTTGCCCAAGGAACATTTTCTTGTATACCTGGTTGGACGGGTACCGCGTATATTGGTCCAATCATTTTAAAAATTTTCTTAACGTTACAATCGAGACTGCAAAAAAATAGGTTAGTGTAATTCAGTGGCACAATTATTTGCATTTTTGGCGCGAACTCACGTTTACATAAGTTGGCTGTTCACAATAAATATATCACAATAAATGTTCCATATATAACTTTGCTTTTATTAAATTTTTCTTTGTAAAATGAAGACAGCAATTATTAAAAACTTTTTATAAATATATATTTATGTTTATTCATCATATAATTCTTATTATTACTTAATTTATACTAATATATATCCTTGAGATTTTCAATAATAATTTTTCATCTGCAATATGTATACACAATTTATATATGTTTCTCTCAAGAAATTTACCGATAACAAAGGTACTCAGGTCAATAAAAGAAATCTGTTCAAATAATTCTTATGCAAATAGTAAATTCTATCTTTACAAATATTTATGCAATATCGCAATGTATATATAATCTATAAAAATTTGTTTCGGCGATCTAATACGAAGAAGAAGAAAAAAGTCTTAAACAAATAAAAATACTTTTGTTGTCGTTTAAAATGTGCCTTAATTTGTAGGACGAACACGAGCAGGCGGTTGATTATATTTTGACTTTTAACATGATGTTTCGTACAGGTCAATTATCATGGACGGAATATAGCTAATTACAAAGGCTCGTGCTACGCGCGAAGACTTCGTATTATAAATATTGAGGACGGATTCAATTGATACGTTCGTATCTGCATTATTATATTACGCATTCGATTTCTTTTTTTTTTTTTTTTTTTCGTATATATAAAGCCAGAATAATTTCCCTCGCAGTTATTCGCCAATTATGGTAATGTCAAATTATCCGTGATGTAATTTGAAAGAATAATTTGGTTTGCGTAACAATACATCATATTGCGATCGCCAAACGGAAAATTGTCTGATGAAATGACGAAGGAAATTATTCGATGGTTTTGCATACTATATATCAGTACATATACCTTGTCATTGGCTATTCTAAAGGCCAACGTCGTAAACGCCTACTTTGGGATTGCAGCATTGTGTTTACAAGTGTAAAATTCTGCCACTAGAACAATTAGACGTGAATTATTGGACAATTAAAAATGAAAATTGACATTGAAGCGAGCGATTAAGAATTGCCTAGGCAGAATGCTAATTGATCGGCCGAGTCGAAAAAATCAAGCTTACTAACGATATCTTGTACTATCATTCATTGCACGTGTGCACGTGTGTGCGTGTGAAGAGGCGTGTCGGAAAACAAAACAAGAGGAAAAACATGTTTGTAAAAATTTGGAATCGATGTTTACGCAACAATTATAACGCCGTGGCTATGTGGCTAAATATCTATAACAAACAGGTAAATCGGCTATTATTACATCGAAGACCGCTTGGCCAACAACTCTCGAAGATTGATAATTCGTGGTGTGCACTACTCAGATTGGCCTTGGATGGCACGTCGCGAATCGAGACAAGGAGAAGATGGAGCTGCTCCGATCGAAGTAGGGCGTTTCCTAGTAGTACTTGATCGTGAATAACACGTCGATGCCGAATAGCAGCGCGTTGACGAAAGTGAAGAAACAGCTGGCGATCATCATGTCCATGTATTGCTTACTCGCGTACTGGTTATTGTTGTAGAATATGCCGTAGTTGCCACTCAGCTTCCTATGGTTGACGATTATCAGGATTCCAGCGATCACGTGCAGAATCGAACCTGTCACCGAGAACAGCAGCGACTGCAACAGCCCACCGCGGATTATTAACGATCATCAATTGGCACTCTTTATCGGTGTTTCGCAATCCAAGATTGCGACCGATCCGCGCAGTGATATGCGCGACGGCAGCTCGCCTTATGTAACGCGAATTTTCCATTTAGCATGTGACGGCTGCAAGCTGGAGATAATCGGCAATAACTCGGGCGACGAGGAAGAGCTCATTGCACGCCACGGGAAATGAATTTGCGAATGCTTCAAATGAAAAGAAAACTAAAGTCGCGTCCTTGCGTTATTGCACAATGACGCGTCGCGCTTATACGCTCCGTACCCGTGAATAAAAGCATACTCGACGTACCTGCGTTCCCATTTTACTCTTTTACTGCAATACGCTTATTTGCGTTGTTTTACGTTTCCAAGTTAAATGTTAAATTTACGTGTTATCTGGATATACCTATGACGCATTTAGGAAAAGTAATCTCTACAAATCAATCCGAATGTAAACAAGGACGTTATTTGTTTTGGTACGGAGAACTGTTGTTGTTATTTTCATTAAATATTTATTGTCACGGCGCGAATTGTGCTAACAGTCAAAATGAAATCAGGCGTTGGGAAATGACGAGATGAAGCTTTTAGAAGGTCTCTATGAATTGAACGCTGACATACTGTAAATATGACATCTTTCAACGCAAAAAAGCGAAGCCCTTCCTTTAAGCAAGGCGGGGGCACAGCGTAAGAACAAGTAAAAAAAGTGTATTACCGTTCTTTTCGGCATTCGATCTCCCAGCAGATGGCCAAGTATGCAGATGGTGTTGACGATGATGAAACCCCCGAGCGTTATATAAATAAAAACTATGTCGTCGAGCTTTGGTCTCGGTTCATACCTAAAAAGTGTGTTGAACGAGTTGAACGGGTCGACGATCAGACCTATACAGAATACCGATATCACCTGCAAAACAAATAGAATTCATCAATTATTTGAATGCGCTGAGAAGAATTCGAACACGATCGAACCTAGTCGATGATAGTGTATTGCTGTTATGTTTTGTGAACACTAAAATAAATAAAGCTCCGTGTTCATCGCGTGAAACTGGAGCGCTAACTTTACATTATAGTCTATAGTCTACTACCCCTGTTGTATTAAATCAACAACGCAATACAGTCCAAGATCCAAGTAATCGAACGATTAGCGTGTATTAACCCTGTGCTCAATCTTGGAGCGTAAGTCGGTCTCTTATAACCGTTCTCTTTGTGGCCAGTTGATAGCAAAAGTGATTTAAAGCGAATCGGACCTTTTAATAATTTCTTTGTTTGACGACCAAAGATCAACTTCGACTGATTGCTTCTGATCGCTCTAACTGAATATCCAACGGTAATATTATCATGTCGAGAATATCCAAGTTTCGTGTGAACGAATGCTCATTTTTAATTTAAAAGGTGAAAATAGCGTGAGAGAGAAAGTTAATAACTAACCACTTCGACGACTTTGAGAATGACGGATTTGGAGCTGACGACCGTAATCTCTTCGTATTCCTTGTTAACATGGGCATCTTGCATCGTCCCCTCGTCCGCCATCCTGACGCGTTTGTGCTTTCCTCGCCTGTCGCCCAGCTTGACTGACTTTATCGCTCGTGCTCGCTCTAGTCTTATAATGATCTGTCTGCTCTATTGTATGTGAACGACCATCAAGGGCTACCAACGTACTCTGGGGCATATGTGTGCCACGCGAGCGCGCGGCCGTCGTTACACCTGTAAAAGGTCAGCTGCTACAGTCCTTTTCTTGTTGCTCGTACACCTTCCTTTTTATATTCCTCGTGCAACAACTTATACGTATACACAATTACAAAGCGTCGACGTACACGCCAAACTAGCACGACACGTTCTCTTTACTTTTTATTTTCTTTATTATCCATTTTCAGCGCATAACCACGCGTTGCCATATATATTGAATTCGCCGGTACACAAGCGGTGACTTTCCCTTGTGCGCGCGCGTCAACTCGAACTAATAACGCAAAAGAAAGAAAACATAAATATGTACTGGCAACACCTCGAACTTTACATAACATTGTGTAATCGGTATAGATTTTATACAAACATTGCATCATCAGTCAGTAACACACGAATCCGTTAATTATTATTCGGTTCGGAATCGAGGAATATTCGAAGAGGCAGCAAGAAAAACAACTTGCCTCGACGTCACGATGGAATTCCGAACAGTCGCATAATGAACCGACAGCAGTTTCTCTCCGCGAGAGTGGGAATTCAGAAAAAAAAACTGACCCAATGACACTGTTACGCTGGACGACGACGTTGCCTCGCGCGTGTATACGCTATCTAAAAAGTTCATCGACCAGAGACGGCTCTCCGAGGGAAGGCCAATTAGACTTCTGTTTGTTTTGGAGCTTCTCTCTTGCAGGCTCGAGTTTACCTGCGCGCAGCATCCGTTTTCGTAAGGAGGGGCGCGAGCAGAACGAACCCAATCCTCGTAAAGTGAGACAACCGCGCGTTGGCAAACAAAAGCCAAGCTGAAGGAAAACCGAGAGAGAGAGAGAGCGAGAGCGCGCGCCAAGGTATCGCGACTTAGGCGAGTCGCGACGAGGTTCTGTCCAAGGCGTGTGTCCGCGCAGAGAGCAGAGAATACTTGGGAACCACTGGTGCTCGCCGCGGAGTCCCGGAACCTAACTGTCGACGCAAGGCTCGGCTGCGATCGCTGGCCCACACGTGCAGGCGCGCTGGCATCACTTACGGGCGTTGTCGGCGAACAGTGCCGCCGCCCGCGTGACCGCGCAGCGCGGGAGAGCGACGGACGAGTTACGAGGTCGGCGAAGGTGAAGCGCGTCGGAGCGCGTCCGATGACTAAGCGCGAGGCATGCCCTCTACGGCGAGTGCCCTCATCGTGGCCTCGCGCCACCTGCGCCGCGCGAGGCGCGGTCGCGGTCGCGCCAAGCGGATGAGCGGCGAGCAGCGCCGGTCCACGGACAGGTGACGTCGACCACGCGGACGAGCCGCACTGGGTGTATCGTCGCACTGCACGTAGCCCCGCTGCAGGCACGCCAATGCGCGCGCACATACACACACAAACAAACAAACACACACCTTGCTGGAAGGATATAGCTGGATGCTCGCGGCAGCACGGCGTTACTCAAACTGGAACGCCGCGCGCACACCAGGCGACGCGCCAGCGCCGCGTTTGAACTCGCCTCTATACCTGTTTCTCTTTCTCTCACTCGATGCCCCTACTACGCTCGCGACACTATGCAGGCATCGTGCGCCGCACGCCGAGAGAGATAACAGGGCCCGCCGCTGCGATCGCGTGCGCAGCAGCTATAGTCTCTTTCGGCCGGGCATTTGCATTCGGCTACGATGGTGGGTGCAACGATCCCAGACTCATGTCCCCCTCGCTGTTTTCGCCGCCCAGAATTCCGCACGATGCCTCGTTTCGCTTGCTTCGAACTTGTTTATTCGATGCTTGCCGTATAACAATCGCAGTTGTAAATAAAAAAAGAACAGAATCCCGAGTTGGTCAGCGAGCCGATTCTCGACTGGACCGACGAAAAACCCGTTGAAGGCTGCGAACGGGCGACTTCCTTGTTTCTCGAAAAGATAGATAATAGCGAAAACAACCTAAAATCTCGTTGTTCGTGTCACATTTTTGTTTCTGTCCGAACGTAATGCGCCAAGATCAGTCTGTTGCCCGGTAAACACAGGTATAAAGCACACCGACTAGCGTAGAAAGGTCAATAGGCGTCTGTCGATTATAGCGCTCGCGTGGCTGTGCTCGCGAGCGGTAGAATCTAAACCTCATGGAGAACTGACACCGTAATACAGTACAACGTGCGTCCGTCCTCGGTTGTGCATGGAGCGAAGCTACGTAGCGCGCGTGGCACACACGCGAAGGAGAGAGAGAGAGAGAGAGAGAGAGAGAGAGAGAGAGAGAGAGAGAGAGAGAGTGAGCAAAAACTGCGTAGCGTTACGCCCGGGGCCCAGTCGCGCAGTCGGTCAAAAAAAAAACGACGAGGAATTCGTCGCGTCGAGGCAATTCAGCGCGATGAGCTCACCGCGCGCCTCGGTTCCCTCTTTTAATGACAGCTTTATCGTGAGACTGCTTTGAATAAAAAAAAGCTGTCATTAAGACGCTTAACAACGCGATCGCGTGGCGGGCTATACGTGTAGCCAAGATTATAGCTCGCTAAGTGTCGAGTCGTATTGATCCCTCTACGCGCCGACGGAGAGAAACAGCAGGTGGATTAATAAGCTGAATGGAGGCGTACGCGCAGCCGACGTAAACATGCAGGCGTAAGCGGGGCGCGCACGGGCCTCGTGCTATGTGGGTATATATATATGTAGCAGCAGTCCAAAGGTGAGAGAGAAAGAGAGAGAGAGAGTGAGTGTGAGACTGAGAGCTGTGGAGGGGACTCGAGTCGTGTATACATGGGCGCGGTCCGCCTGCCGGCGAATGCAATTTCTTTTTCCTTTTCGTCCCAGCACTCGCGTGCTTTTCGTAGACAAATTTTTACACTTTCTCGAGCGAGCAGCATCGAGTTTCGAGCACAGACGCTCTTTGGCGAAGAGCCGCCGCAGATACGCCTGATCGGCGGTACGCCACGCGGCCACTGTAGATTCGCAAAAAGAACGCTGCAGCCTTGTCATCTACTGACAGATATCGTAATACCTTTCATCCCGTGGCCGTGATCGGTACGAGAAATAACAGCTGACAGCGCGCACGCACAAAGAGATCTGTTGCTTCGACGCGAAGGCACAGAGGAGGAAAATCGATGCCTCGGCCGCACGCGCGACATGGACGGAATATCCGTTATTGATTGAAACACCCGAATTGAGTGACAGTGCACGTACAGAGTTCAACGAACTAGCGGTCGTTTCTAACTTGATCCACGATCCTACTGCCCTTTATTCGAGCGAACAAAAATATCTAAAATATGCTGCTACGTGTTGATTCAAACGTATAGTTGCATTTTACATCGTCTTCTAAATCATATCGGGTCGGCTGGATCTACTACACGGACGAGAAAAGAAAAAGAAAAATAAACAACGCGTCGTTGTGCTCGGCGCAATTACAAAATATTGCGGCGGGTACTTAAGCGACACGGAAAAACCAGGTCACCATGGGGGGAGAAAATCGATCGAGCGTAGAGTCAAGATTTCAGAAAGAGTAGCAGATGGGGTTGGGCAAGCGGAAGTGTCAGGCTTATCGATAAAAATTGAAATACCGCGATTACATCTTGCATTCGTTGCTACTACGTGGAGTTCAAAATGATTACCGCCGTATTTCACGTACAGAACACACGGTTACGACAGTGCGGTCGCGATGCGGGCATTCGTTTCAAAAGCCCTGCGTCGAAAAGCCGAACAAAAACGACCGCCGCGGATTGTTACTCGCGCCTACTTGGGCGGCGTGAGCACGAGCAACTTGCGAAATTGCACGAGCGTGAAGGAAAGAGAAGCATCCGCACGCGTTTGGCTAATGAAATTAGCCAGGCGAGCTACGAGGCATTGTCACGACCAGATTCGCACAGCGCCAAATTAATGAACAAACGACGCGACCAGTGGGAGAGGGTGGAAGAGGGGGCGAAAGTGACGATTTACATTTTTTCGCACGACCGCGACGACGACAACGACGACGACGACGTCGTAGTTGGCAATTGTGCGCGCTCGCGAAGCTTTCTAATGCAAATGCCGTACTAACTAAGTTAACAGCTAAATTGGCCGGCTTCTGCGAGAGCAACAAAAAAAAAAACGAGAGGCGGGACCTCGCCTGCGCTGATAAACAACGAAATGAGATCGACTCTTTTGTGTAGGTGGGTCGAGCCCAACTCTGCTCCGAGGTCAAGTAAGACTAATTGATGTACACAGCAGTAGCAGCAGCAGTAGCAGCGATATGAATGATAATGGCCCTACTCACAGATGCACGCAATGAAAATATATAATGCACATTCCGGTAATAACAAGCCGTGACCGCAAGCACTAAATAACGCGTGCGTTAGGCACTCGACAACACTCGGACGAGCTGCGTCTTCTACATGTCTCTCGTGCCAAATATACTTTGTTCTGACACTCGCTAATCTCGCGTTCGTTACTTGCGGACACGTCAATTTGTGCGTGTCGTCAAGCACTAACAACGACAATCGTAATTCTAAAAATATTATTGCGACAAGAACAGTCGTTTCTACAGGCAAATGAATGTAACGAAGTGGCAATACATCTCTAAAATCAATTACCCTAAAAAAATCAAACGATATGTTATAACAATAATGCATGTCCGTTAAATACTTTCAATATTGACTGGCTAATAAATATTTGTACTTCGATTTCTCTTGCGCTCATATTATTTGTACCATCTGCATGATTAAAGTTGGCTTAAAAATATCAATAGGTTTACAATTACGAGCTTGTTACACATACCAAAGAGCAAGCCAAAGGAAATTAGTGATGCTTCAGCTACTATGACGACCGTTCACAAACTCTTAGTCACCACAACGACATCAATGTTTCCTTGCAAACGATCTAATATCTAAACTCATCTTCGCCACTTCAGCTCGTTAACGCACTTTACATTTCCTCTGAAAGTAGCATAATCTTCAGATACTGGTAATCATTACGTGATGCCGAAATATTTCAGAGTAAATCATCCGTCGAGGTTTTCCGGAGATAGCGTTTGTTTCAACTTTAACTTGAAAAATACAGATGTGTTTGTCTCATGAATAATAAAACGTTTGCTTATTTTTTGTCGCGGAATCTAAATGACGTCGGTTATTCTCTCTCATATCACACCCAGGTTTTTGAAATGGTCTTCTACTTACTCAAATTATTCATTACTTTTTATTTCTATTGATACAGTCGACAAGAAAAAAATACAATGAAATGTAGAATACAAATTCAGCAATGTAAAAAAGTGAAAAATAAAGTAGTTTAAAAGTAGAAAGGCGCCCGAACAATTGTGCAAAGCTTTATTATTGTGCACGGTAACTTGCCGTGAATCAGCGTGTATCAATTCTTACACTATATTTTTGTACACAAGAATTTGAGTGTATAATAAAATCGTGCAAAATTGTCCGTACGCCAGTAAAAATACTATCGTTCAAATGCGCAAGCCTAATCTAGATTTACAAATATAAAAATATGCACGAAGAGAAACGATAAACAAGAAATTGATTGTTGGTATGTCTAAAAACAATTCTATAGTATAGTTGTACTCTGTGACAATCATCTTTGCAACGTAGAAAATAAATGTAATACGAAACGGAGTCTTCGCATGAAAAGATACTCGTCGATAGATTACTAATAAATAAACGATAGATACATTAGAGCTCAAAGTTCACTCAAGAATCAAATTGCTCGAAGAGTTCGTTCTAAAAATGCTTATGCAAATTCTTCTTTGACAAAATGTGAGCAGGTCAGAATAAGATCGACAAGGTATGCCGCGCCTTCGAGCGCGCACAATGATCCAAGTGCAAGACCAACCTACAGAGGAATCATTGATTAATAAAATATCACCAATAAGTCATGGCTGAAAATCTGGATTTGTCATATTGATCTCACCTGTCGTTCACTCGAGAATAACAAGTACTTGTACTCATCCATGTATCCATGCCAGTAATGCAAAGCTGTTGCTCCGACGGCGATGAACATGAACATCCCCACAAAGTTCATGATCATTTCCTATAAGATTGAAAAAAAAACAAACATTCGAGCAATCGTATTATTGTTTTTTTATTGCTTAAGAAAAATGTTTGAAAAAAATATGCGAGGCTTCAACTCACCACAAGAGTCTTTTTGTGTTCCATGGAGCCAAAGCAATAGCTGATAAGAACTGTCATTGTGTAAATGAAGAATCCTACAAAAACTCCTGAAGCCACTATTTCGACGTCTGGATTTTTTGATTCGTTTATATTCCATGTTCCACCGACACCCAAAAATTTACCTCCGTAACCAACTCTATACAGTATGATAATTATCAAATTGAGTACCTGAAAATTATTTATATGTCAAATATCAAAGCCTTGTATCTTTAATCAATTTATTACTATTTTTATGGTATTTTCGAAACTATTCGATTTTAAAATTATTACAATAATTCAAAATAAATAATTCAAAATTATTACATAAATTCAAATAACTTACTGAGTAAACTATAATATTTGGATTACAATGAATATCATACTCAAAAAAAGAAATTGTTTCTTTTAAGATTAGAGTGGAAAAATTGTTATTGAACCATGAGCGCATTCCGAACCAACATATAAAGGTGCGAGAGCGTGGCGTACGCGCCTCATTACGATGTCGCGCGTAGCGTCACTCAGCAAACAATACTAGGCTTATCAACTCCACTGATATATTGAAGTGAATCACAATTACATCTTTTTCAAAAGTACCAATCCGATGAATTCGTAGAATAGCTCTAACGAGTTTCAATTAAGGACGATTTAACATTCGATTAGTTGATTTTTGGGGAAAGCCTATTAAAAACTCAAATTTTTATTCCTAAAGTGCACTGACCATTATTGTGAAATAATAATTGCGATTAGATTAGGAATGTATACTCGATAATTTGTGAGAAAGATTCTCACCCGCAGGTTAACGCGATAACTTGATTTCTCCTCGTAATTTTAATTACATTTTTCCCAAAACACTTCACGAACATTTCACTATCTTCGCGCCACATCATGTAAATATTTTACATATTCCGAAAGCTCTATCCACTCACCACTTTAAATATTTTGATCGCAATAGAAGCAACTGTGGTTATAGACACCATCTTGGGATTTTGGAGAACGATGCTTTTTTTTTTCGTTCTGAAAATGTCAATGGTATGCGAGGCGACGCACTTACGAGCCTTGAATGGAACTCACTGCGAAAAGGCGAGGTGAGAAAAAAGCAAGTATTGCTTATCTAATCTGATAACGAGGCCGGTAGATAAATTCATACGAGAGGCGATTGTAACACCTGCGCCTGCGCGACTCATCTTATCTTCTCCGTTCGTACGGTACTTTTTGTGCACTGACCCATTTCTTGCAGTAACAGACAAACGACATTGTTTTTTCGGCTCTTTATTGCACCATGAGAGCCTGCTAGCAGTTATGCTAATATTAAAAACGCGAATGTGAAACGTATATTACATTTCGTCAGACAGCTGAAGAGGGAAAGTAGACTGCGCACCACGTGTGCGCAAGAAAGGTGCGGACGAAAAGCAACGTTAGTGCCGAGAAAGTCTGCACCATATAACTTCCGGGCCCCTCATTAGGGAAATCCACAAGCAAGTTCAATGTTTTCGTGACCGAGCGTTGGCTCATGATCTCAACGATCCGTCGTTCTCTCATTTAACACATGTAAAAACAAGTACGCGGCTGTTCTCGAGAATACCTACTCTGAGGTCGACAGCTTGGAGAGCGGGCCAGCGTCGGAGAGACAAGTTAAAACAAAAACTGGTGAAGGGGCTGGCGGGCATGCGGCGAACGAGCCCCAATGAGGCTGGTGTACACCCCTTGCTAGTTTTTCATACGTTGCTGGGTTTAGTAGTTTTTGTTTAATCTTTTATTTAGCAATGACCACTCATTATCGACCACACCTTAAATCGTATCAGAGCTGAAATAAATTGATTTTGTTCGTAAAAAGAAATATTTCAAATGTATCCCTGCTCACTTGTCCCTATTATCAATATTATGTGACTATTGAAACTTTTCTTACTCGATGTGAGTTTTCACTTAACCGCTGGTGAATCATTCGCGGTGAATAAGAATAACTTTATATATCTGTCACCGATGACGAACGAGTACAATTGGAATTGGGAAATTGAGAAAAATGCAAAGCCGCCCTCAGAAAAATTAATCACTCGTGAGACCATCTGAATGTTATAACGCTGTTTTTAGTTTTCGGGTTTGGCCATAACGCAAGAGCAAATAGGTGAAATGGAAAAGCACGTAAGTGACATCGACTTCGTTGCCGCGGCAAAGGAAGAAAAGGCTACCAGACATGACGTCATGGCTCACGTGCACGTTTTCGGTGCCCAGTGTCCAAAAGCTGCACCCATCATTCACCTAGGCGCAACCAGCTGCTACGTGGGAGATAATACGGTATAATCTTTTATTCCAAACAATTATGTCGATGCTCGGAGGTCATAACGAATATATTCTTAATGCTTTTAGGATCTCATTGTACTTCGCGATGGCTTCGATATTATATTGCCGAAATTGGCTGCAGTTATCAAGAGACTGGCCAATTTTGCCAACGAGTACCGTTCATTACCGACTCTTGGCTTCACTCATCTGCAGCCCGCTCAACTGACAACGGTTGGCAAAAGGGCCACTCTTTGGCTGCACGAGCTGCTCATGGATGAACGTGCGATTCGCCGGGCGAGAAACGATCTACGTTTTCGAGGCGTTAAGGGCACGACTGGTACCCAGGCTTCCTTTTTGCAACTGTTTAATGGTGAATTAATATTTATTTTCACGTAGTGACTGACTTTATTCTCGAGTAAAAATGATAACAGCTTGGAAATAATGTTTAAAATTTTCTTTCGATTTTCATACATTCGATGTTACGCAATCAGAAATAACATATTTTTTCTTAATTTAAAATTATTCATTACTATTCAAATCAAATGATAGTTTTTAATTTATTCGTTTTTAGTTTGCACATAGCAAAATTATTTATTTCCCTCTTTAGAATATGAACTAGAATTATGGAAAAATTTTGAACTATTAAATACTAACAAAAATCAAGTGATAGTTAATTTTTGTCATTAATCAATAGCCAGAGTATAGCGTTATAAACAGACCTGAAAAATGTCCTATTCGTTCCCGCATAGAAAATAACGTATCTATTTCAGGCATTGACATTGACCTGTTTGGTTGAATGATACTAATGTTATTACAAACAATAATTTAATCACAGTAACTAATTTTAAATAAGGCACATCTCAATGTTTTTTCTGGAAGTTCTGAATTTTCGAAGGCAAAATTATAAATTATAGCGATCCGGTATTCTGTCATATTTCCGAGATTAAAATCTGCCCTGAAGTGTTAATTTTCATTACGTTACTGCATTAGGTGACTTAAAATATCGTGGTTTCGCCAGTAAAGTGCAAAAATTCGGAGTAATAAAAATTATTAAATACAGGAGACGGTGAGAAAGTAAAGCAACTGGATGATTTGGTTACAAGGATGGCTGGATTCGAAAAACGCTATGCCGTCACCGGTCAAACTTATAGCAGAAAGGTCGACGTTGAGTGCTTAAACGTTCTTGCTTCATTGGGCGCCACCGTTCACAAGGTAACTCGAGTTCGCAAATTACTTGTAATTAGCAGATTAATAAATGACATACTAACGAATCAATTCTGTTTCAGATCTGCGCGGACATCAGAATCTTAGCAAACATGAAAGAATTGGAAGAGCCGTTCGAAACAACTCAAATAGGTTCCTCAGCAATGCCTTACAAACGTAATCCAATGCGCAGTGAGCGTTGTTGCAGCATAGCTCGCCATCTGATGACGCTAGTGAATAACGGCCTGCAGACAGCAGCGAACCAGTGGATGGAGCGAACCCTGGATGACTCGGCCAATCGACGTATCACCCTTGCAGAGGCATTTCTCTCAGCTGACGTCATACTCATGACTTTACAGAATATTTGCGAAGGCTTGATTGTTTATCCGAAGGTCATCGCTAGGCATATCTCTCAGGAACTGCCTTTCATGTCGGCTGAGAATGTTATTATGGCCATGGTCAAAGCTGGTGGAGACCGACAGGTATTTCGCAGTAATAACTTCTTTATCGAAAGTTTCCAAAAGTTAGAAGCTACAATTATATGTGTACAATTAATGCCGATGAAAATTTTCTACATCGTAGGAATGCCACGAGAAAATCCGTGTTCTTTCACAAGAGGCCGGTGCTCAGGTAAAACAGCATGGTAAAGATAATGACCTGGTCGAGCGCATTGCTAATGACAAATACTTTGAGCCAATACTTGATCAATTGTCGGCTCTCTTAGATCCTTCGACCTTTGTCGGCAGAGCACCTGATCAAGTAGTTGAATTTTTGAAAGAAGAAGTTTACCCTGTCTTGGCAAATTATGACATTAAAGACGTCTCAGTTGAATTGAGCATTTAAACGGACTGGAGATTCGTATTAATTCATAAATTCATTTTTATATTTTTCTACGGCCTCTTTTTATCTACACACATATTGTTAAATGTAAAAGGATGGATAAGGTTATTAATGAATGTGAAATGAATTTATTTTAATCAGTGCGTTTAATGGATCATTCTTTGCTCGTACGATATGTAAATACACTTCTTTGTTTATCACCAAAATAGTGAAAATTTATCATTATATTTCACGTGCAACAAAGCTACTGCTGTATATTTTCATAATGGAATGTAATAAAGATTTACGCTTATTGTAAAAAAAGAACTTTCTTAGTAATGCTTAAGCTATGGATGTATTTTCATGTTACTTTTTAAGGCAATAACTTTTACATATTTTCAATCTCAAGTGATTTTACTATGTGCTGTGATAGCTTACATAGAAAAGGTAATGTAAAATTGTAGAAGTGACAGTAAAATTCAAAAGAAAATAAGAAATAAGAAAATAGTTAAGAGATCAGCAGAAATGAGAAATAGAAATCGAAGTAAATTGATGTCCTATAATAGTCATGAGAAAAAGTTGATAAAAAGTATAGTTTTTCTAGTTAAAGGAAGACAGCGAATTTGAATTAACTAAGTTTAACACAAGTAGACAAATCATACAGATCATATAGACTAGAAAAGCAGTAGACCAAAAGTTTGTGTAGAAATTAAGTAATATGAAAATAATTAATGAAAGCTATTTTACAAGAAATCATGTAGACAAGTAGGCAGACGTAAAAAGAACTAAAAGTGAAAATAAAAAAATAGTTTGAAAGTTTTATAAAAGTGATAGACAGAAAGTGTAAAAATGACAAAGTCCATTTCAAAATGTAATACGGAAAAATAGTTTTATAAAGTAATACAAAGCTTTAAATTTACAAATAGAAAGAAAAATAAATAATAGATGTAGTGTACAAAGAATAGTTGAAAGAATAGAATTGAAAAAGAAATGGTATAGAGTAAAAAGTTGAAAATGTGATATTTACAGAATGAAAGGAATAGCAGAGAAAAAAATAGAGATAGGAAAATGATAATTTAGAAAAGTCAGTTTGAAAGAAAATTTGTATAAATCTGTAAGATGCATTATTGATAGAAATATGAAAGTATAGATTTTGAAAATAGTAAATAGTAAAAAATAAAGTATTTACACGGTAGGTTGAAAAAAAGAAATTGGAAATGAAAAAAAAAAAAAGTAATTTGCAAAGTAAAGTTGAGACAAAGTAGAATAAGATTGTATTATAAGAAATAAAAAAAGAAATTTAAATAGAAATTCGTAGGAAAAAAATCAGTATTTTTAGAATGAAAAGAAAAAGAAAATGACAAACAGCGTGGAAAATAGAAAAAGTTCAAGTAAAGAAGATAGTATCCAGTAGCAAACGCCAAGTAGATAGTAGACAGGTTGAAAAAAGTAGGCAGATAGAGCGAGCAAAAAACTGAAAATGAATAGACATGGAACAAGTAAGCAAAGATAAAAGTAAATATTATTCTGGCAAGATTCGACGTCCATTGAGATATTGAAAAAGTAATACTGATAGGTAGAGTCACGAAACGGAGAAATACGGTAGAACATTGAGGATCAGTCGTGAAACAGAAAAGAAAAGAAAAGAATAGGCGTCAGTGTAATAGCTGGAAATGAAAATGTGTAAAAGAAGATCGTAGAATAGAAAATAGGCACAGTACAGTACAGGTAGAGAGAAAAAGTAGGAGAAATGAGGAAGAAGGAAACGTATTTACAAAAGACGTAGAGTAAAAGTAAGAGTACAAGTATAGATCAGAATTAGAGAATTAAGTACCCAGAGTCGCTAGCGTCAAGTGGCAGTTGTAATCAAAGAATGAAACAGTAATAAAATTTCCGAAAACCAAGAGCAAAACAAAGTGTTAACAGAATAATGCCGTGCAACGAGACGTTAAGCGAGCATAGAAAGACAAAAGGGAGGCTATCACAGGTAAGCGTTGGGATCGCACACGCTTAAATCCAATTGAAAGTGAGCGGACAAAGTGTCGTGGATATAATAAGGAGAGAATCACTCCTTCGCGATGCGGTAACCGCTGAAAGTGGTGGTGCTGTCGTCAGGTTTGCCGGTGTCGACGAATATAGCTACTTGATCACCAAGAGCCATGCGCAACAATACGGTATTGGCGCCTCCGTGGGGTCCTGTGCTCGCGATCGGTTGCCAGTCGTCGGTTTTGTTGAGCTTGCGTTTCAATGTCATGCGTAAGTCACTGCTTCCGTAGCCCGAAAAGCTGAATTGATACAGGCCTGGGCAGTAAGTGGTGAACGTGCCGGTCGACGCTGCATAACCTACGCCTTGATCTAAGAGCGTTTCACTGAGGACCAATTTGGCATCCTGATAACAAAATGAAAGTAATGTATTTCACATAATTTTGATGGGCTGCTTGAATAACTATAAAACTTTCCGTCTACTTGCTTTCTTGTGACTGCAAATTAGTCAAAATATCGACTTCTCTACGCTACCGCATTAATAAAAATATCGAATTTTCATGGTTGATAAGTGAAAGCTGCTCTCGAGGAAAAATAAAGTCTCCTTTCAACACGTCTAATCGGCAGTGCTCGCGGCGCCAAGCGAATAAATAACTCCTAAGATGAGCGAAACCTGTACCTGGATGTCAGCATGAGTGCCGGAAAAGGCGACGGGTTTGGAGCAGCCGGAAGCAGTGGCTAACTTTTGCGAGCCAAGAGTGGTGATGTCCAGAGGGGGGTCCGGCTTCGCAGCATCGACCGCCAGACCAATCGCCAATAAAACCGCTGCCCACGCCAGCCTGCAAGGAGAACAAGCCAAAGTCTCACTAGGCTTGCTGCGACTCTCTATTTTCGACGAGAACGAGGTAGCCCGCAGCCGCTGCAGTCGGCGGTCGCTCGTAGACGCCTTACGAAACAGGCGACAATTGCGCAACGTGCGAGCCGCTCGAAAAACGAGCGGCCGCGAAGTGAGAGTGTCCGCTCGCGCAGCGGCTGCGTTCTGCGATTTAAAAAGTGAAAGGCACGTGCGCGCGCGCGGACATTTCCCTCGCGTGCGTGTAGCCGCTGCCACGGACAGTTGTAACAATTTGCGCAACGCGAGCTACTCGAGAAATTTCTCGTTATGCACGGATGCTGCCGGTTTCGGTGATGCCCCCGGCGATGCACGAGGACCAAGTTCATTAGCCGTCGACTTTCACTTATGTAATTGTGTCGGTTCTGCCGGGGGGCGCGCTTTCCACGAATAATTCAATTATCGTCCAGCCGTGATCAATTTGGTGTCGGCGAAATTGCAATGCGGTAAATTGCTTATTATGGTTCCTTTGACGAGTGTTGCGTGCGAATGGTGCCTCGCGATCGCCTACGCGTTACCTGCTTTTACGTGCGCGGAACAAATTAACGAGCTGCAATCGACTTTTTCGGCCGCTCGTCAATTTCTTCACCGAGGCCGCCTTTCAAAACAACGAAACGAAATTTGCCGCGCTGCGACGGTTGTTTAATCAAGCCACGTCGTTGACGTGAAAGTAGAGTGGCGTTTCCGAGGAAATTCGCAATTTGCCTTCAAAACGCGGGCCATAAACGACGAGAACCTCGTAGAGGAAAAGGTAATCGGCAGCGGCCGCGCAAAAAGTTCGTCTCCTGTAGTAAGATTATCGGGAAAAGCCGGTGGTCGAGCGTGTCGCTTAACGTTCACGGTCGATCGGTAGTTCGTCCGCAGGCGGACTCGTTCCGCTTTCTACTCGGAGAGAAAGTGCCGAGCGTGCGGCGGTCTTTTCTCCCTGGTCGTCTTGTTTTTTTTTCTTCTTTCCGCGGCTGCCTCGCACAGCATTAAACGGCCCTAAGCGAGCAGAATATCGGGGGGGACGCGTGCGTTATGCTCTCTCTGAGAGAGATGGAGATATATATCTACGCGCTCGAAGTATGTACAGTGGCGAGAGAGAAAAACGCGTGCGAGGAAAACCTTTCACTTTTCCGCGCGCACGCAAGTCGAAGGAGTTGCACTCGCTCCGCGCGCTGCGAGCATCATTTATACTCTTGCCCGGCCACGGAGAATTGCGAAAGATATTCCCAGTTTTGCCGATCTCATTGTCGAGCTGCTGCGATCCGCTCGACTACTGACGAGGCGAGCTTGTGTAAACGTGACTACAGTCGTGGTTATAACAAGAGCAATGCGTTACACCGGCGCCTATCCGTCCGCGTGATCTAATGTGAAAGTGGAACTCTGGAAAATGATATGCATTTGTTGCGCATAGAGTATTGATCAATTAGTTACTCAAAGGATAATTTAAATTTTTACTTTAAGTTGCTGGGTAGACTGCACATATGCATGTGATGTTGCTTGCGCAGCTCGTGTTCATATGTGTTAAGTATTATGGGCATAAATTAATACTTTTGCAATCATAAATTCGCACCCACTTAACAATTGTAATGAGTGAATAGAAATTATTGCGAAGGCCTTATTTTATTATACTATAAATGTTTGTAAAAAGCTTATGATTTACAAATATTATGAGCACAAAACATATGAAGATAAATAATAAAATCATACGCTTGCGAATACAATATATCGACTTTACTAGTCAACAAGAAAAATCGAATAAATACTTTATTTTTTACTAACTGAGTGATTTTTATAAAAAAAAAATAAACTAAAGCCGAGGAAGAATCTATCATGCTTTTACTCAATTTAGTGATCCCAGATGTTAGCATTAAGCATTTCAAACAAACCAATTGTATTTAAAGCAACTTTTCTATTGTCTACACTGGCAATTGTTGCCGTAGTGAAGCTCTATGGTATAAGAAACATAAATAAAAAAAGAAGAATAAGAAGAACGATGAGAAAGTGAAGTATAGCACTTACATGTTCATGTTAGCTCGAAGATAAGAAGCGCAGAGCAGTCGGCGTCTAAGTGAAGTGGTGGGCGCGGGCGCCGCGCGCCTCCTTTAGCTCTGGTTCGCTTCTCGCGTCGCAATTCTCTGGGGTCCGCTGTCTTCGGGCCGGCACGCTCGCCGCTTTATATCAACTTCCAAGCTCGCGTCGTGCCCTCCTTCGGGCTCCTTACTCCCCACGCCCGTTACCGCGTGCGTAGCAGCCTACTCTCGGACTCGCTGTGTTTTTACATCGACGAAAGTGAGAAGAGCCTCCATTCTTTGACTTTTGTTTGACTTTCTGCGCCGCTCCGCAACTTTATTTGGCTTTTTGCGACTACGATATGCCTGTCGCTTTAGTAGCCGTTTCTTTTAGCATCGAAACCACTGGCTGATTGATTGGTTTTCAAATTTTCGGTTTCTTACGACGATCAGTCAAACATTTTTCACGTGCACTTTCTTAACGAATTCGAATATGCATATACATATAGCCAGAGTGTTCTGAATTTAAAGTAGTCGTTTTTCATTTGTTTTTTATGTGGAAGGGGAATTTTATTATTCAACTGCATTCGCTGAATGTGTCGCAACGTAAACAACCTGAAAAATCATTTTCCATCAATAAAACAGTATTGCAACTGCAATCCAAACAGTTATGCAAACAAGTCTTAGATAAACACCTTCAAGTTATCCACCGCACGTACCACACTTACGTTCCACTATACACTTTTTTTATAGGATAAAAATGCTCCTATGATTGTGCTTTGACTCGAGTTCCGAATACCAAAGACTTATCTGATGAAACTAATTAATATTGCGTTCTCTAACTTGTCCTTTCATCACATATTGTACGAATTCTAATAATAAAAAGAAATTCTATTTGTTAAGTTCGTGAACGAAACGTGCAGTTACGCATGTTCGAAGCCATTAAATGTGTTGCATAAGATTTTACGGTGGCAATATAATTGGCTCGCCAAACAGCTGCTGAGGTACTAAAACAACAAATTATCACTACTCTAATAAACTTCCTTCTTGCATTATATACCTCAACTGTAATAATATTGTATAGCTGATCAGAAAAACCGTAGTGTAACGTCGGTAATAACATTTCCAAAAATTTTTCTAAGTATTTCCTAATTTACACTCCAAACGTGTATTATCAAAGAAAGTTCACGTAAGGTCTTTGTTCGGTCGAATGTTCACAAATAGAAAGGTATCAGTAGGTCATCAGATCACCCTCGCCTTAACCGACACACTTTCCATTTCGGCTTATATACGTATGCTTAGCCGTTCTTTCATTTCTCTTTTTTCACTTTTATTCAATGTCTTTCCTTCCAGTTCAAGCCCTTACACTTTCAGTCCTTTCACCATCTTTTTTTATGTTGAAATTGGCCAAATAACAGAAAAAATATCGCTTTGATGTGCTTTTTTGGAGAGTCATTCGTGAAGACAAAGCTAATTCATTTGCGAAATATATACAGGCCTATAGGAATACCTAAAAAATAATGATTGCACAAAAAGAAATCGTAACAGTATGTCGATCTTTGTGTTCAAATATCAATTACTTGACCAATTGACCAATAGTTTCTTAGACGATCCAGTTCACTGAACTCGGCTTTCTATGTTTTCATGACCAATTCGCAACTGTTTATGATAATTTTGTTCCTTTTCGTGAATAACATTGATTTTTTATGGATAAAATGAAAATAAATCTGGGAGACATCTTCACTTTTTGTGGGCCGACTATCCAATTAATCAATTTTTGTTAAAGCAATGAATTTCTCTTCTAGTCGTGCAAACTTTCCTTGTCATCGTACTACTTCGGTTTCGGGCTCTCTCAACCATGCATTTTAATTATTTTGCTTGGAACAATAGCTGTCCCAACTAGAATAAATTACTTTTACTACTTTTGCTTGCAAATGATACTTTCAAAAGATCGATAAACTTATTTCAATCAGACATTCATAATTATTATGGTAATAGCAATATGCCAATATTCAAAGTTTATGAAACTGGAAACTATCACGATTTCTCATGCTTATGAATAAATAGAAATTGTAAACTCATTTTATTATGATTAAAGAAATATCAGGTGAAAGAAAGAAACTCTTATCGATATTTATATATAAGAATATTTTTAATTTATATACAGAATATTCAAGCTTACAAGCTATAAATAACTAAAATAAACATAATCGAGTATTGAGCATATTTTTACTTTTCTATTTGATGTAATTTTCAATTGGGGAAATAATAAAATTTTGCATAGTCTCAATTTTCTGAGTATATTTACATTCTTCCAATATCACGTTTATGTACAATCAAATTTTTATATTTGATCATTGCATTTTTACATTTTTTTAATGGTATTCTTAAAAATATGTAGACCTCAATATAATTCATAAGCAAAAGAGCTAATATGTTAGACAAACGTTCAGGCACATTACTAAATTTTTTTTTCTTAAAACTTTTAAACGACTAGCGTTCTTAATACATTATATATATATGTGTATGTGTGTATATATATATATATATATATATATATATATATATATATATATATATATATATAATTAGGTCAAGATCTACACATAATATATATTCAATTTAAATCTCACCGTTTGATATTCGTTTTTTGATCTGCGTATTACAATTAATATTAATTAAAACTTGATGGCAGCAACAATTTTTAAATATTCTGTAAATAATTTATCAAAATTTGTAAAGTATATTCTATTGCATCATAAACGGTAACTTATCAAAATTGGCATTCTAAAACCAATTATAAAATATTAAACTACAAATTACAATATAAATTAAATGAAAAATTCGTATAATACTATAAATAATTGCGTGTTCTCTCACGATGTCGTTAATCTTTCTTTTGCATTCTTAATAAGACGTAATTCATGGCAGTGTAAACACTTCATATGAGAAGTTTATTTTCTTGGCAAGCAGGACCTTTGCTTGGATAGTTACAAGCTCCTGCACTTGAGTCGAAGGCTAAGTGAACAGGGCAATTGAATACATGTAAGGTATACTTTTTCTTCCAATTGTCCCAGTGACATGCATAGAACTTGTTACAGTGTTTCGGATGTCTAAACAGACCTGGCCTGGCACAGTCAAATTCTTGTTGCAGTATCTCATCATTGTCTCTCAGACCACCAGATTTATAACGGTCAAAATATGTATCTTGATTCTTCAAGTTGTTTGCCAAATTCATCGATCCATCAAACAAAGCTTTACCAGACCTTCTGTTTGCAAAACTATCCTCGACTCTTATCAATAGGGGCTGACGATTTTGTGTATTCGTGCTCAGAGAAGCTTGGTTTTGTCTTAACACTGAAGAGAATGGTGGTAGCGTTGACGGAGGAAGATACGCAGTCGACGGCTTAGCAGGAAGATAATTGGAGGACAGTCTACTAGTTGGCGGTAAATACGTTGAAGATGGTGGTTCTACCCTAGAGTTGAATACAAAGTGACTATCGTATTCCTCATTGATCCTCGCATTTGAAGTCTTGATTAGTCTGTTTGACGGTATATTTTTTGCAAATTCAATTTGGCTTTGATTCTCTTTATCCGAGTCCATATCTACATAAATGTCACTCTCATCGTAATTGGCAAGGTCGACAGGTCCACGATTTTGAGAATTAATAGGTAAGGACTGCCTAGTTGGCCCACGGAATACTGCAAATGGGTCTGCTCTGCACGTGCATTCAGCGCCAAGTTTTCCAAGAATTAACGGATGTAGATCACTGAGTTTTACGATGACCTTCTTGTTCTGGTTTCGTGTGCTCGACTGTAATCGAGTTCGACTATAATCACCGATATAAGTGGTAATTTCCGGAGCCAGCGTCGTGCTCTGTTGTATTCTCCTACCGCTATCAAATTTGGTTTCTACTTTTAGGTCTCCACTATTTGCTGAGCTCTGAACTACACCATTTCTGAAGCCTGAGTTACCAAACGACGTTACGACCTGAGATCCAACTAATGTTCTTGTTTTTCCGTTAAACTCCTGATTTTGATTCACCGAAGATGTTGATTGACCTCGGGAAAAGCCTTGATTTTGAGTAATAAATGAATTTCCATTTGTTTGACTGATTGAAAATTTGGTATTTTCTCGACTAGGAAAAGCACCTGCCGCTTGATTGTTAAAATAAGTCTCAGCTGCTACTTGAGGGGTAACGCCTGATGATGCTTGATTGCGTAGAATTTGACCATTGTTGTGCCTTTGCGATTCATAGTCGTAAGATGGTTGATTAATTGAACCACCGTTGGTAGCTCTTTGCGGAATAGTAGTGGATGAAGCTTGATTCTTTAAGAATCTATTGTTTGATCCACGGTAGATAAAGTCAGAGTTTTGATTTTGAGTAAACTCAGCAGCTACAATAGGACGTCTAAAAGTAACACCGGCTACGGGAGAAAGTGTCGTTGATGGTAGGTATACCTGGAATAAATGCATAATTTTTTTGGTACTCAATATGAAAATCTTCAATACATATTCGATATTATTTGATAAATATTTCTTACCTGGCTCGGAATATTAACCCTTGCTCTATTATTACTTCCTTGATTGATTCGTACGGATTTAGTCTGAGAATTAAATTCTGTTCCTATTTGAGTGAAGGCATCGTAATTTTCTGCGGTTGGTTTTACGAGCTCATTATTTTGTTTTATCTTAAATTAGAAAAAAAGCATTCATCAGGACTAATTACCATTAACTGTTACTCTTAATTTTACGTAAAAATATTTTTACCAAAGGAGAATTTGTTGATGATTGTGGATAATTGTTAGTAAATCGTGCCTGTCCGCCGATTTTCTGACCAAAAATACCTTGTTCGAAATTAGATGTAATATCGGAATAATCTGAATTACCGGTCGAGCCTTGTGCATAAGAAATATCGTCATAGTTTCCTTGATCGAAAGATACACCTACATCCAAAAATGTCTGTGGTGTAGTCGATACAACATTATTTTTATTAATTGGCCTGAGGGTAGTAATGAAAGCTGGTACTGTCGTTGAAGAAATGATAGTTCTCGAACCAGTATCTATGACAGGCCGAACAGTAGAAACCTTTTGTGGTAGCCGAGTAGCTTGGTAAATTGTGGTTCTGAAATTATCTGCTTGATTAGTAGTATATCCAACTGGTGAAATAGTAGAACTGTAGCCATTTTTAGTTCCATCGATAATAACGGAATTTTGATTTTCTATTGAAACTGGCGTTGTTGACACGTAATAAGGTGTTTGTGTTACTGTAGGGGTACTCGAAGGGAAATCAGTTTCAAATGGCGTAGATGGTTTGGGATACGAATAACCAGCAAAATTAGTGTTTGTTCCTGTAGCAGTATTCGATTGTCTATAGTCAGTAGTAGTAACACCATCAGGTAGCCTAGTTGTTCCAAAGTTAACAGTGTTTCCTTTAACGCCAGACATTCCGAAATTCATATTTTGGTTTGTTGCGAAATTTGTCGTGGTTCCACCTGTACCAAAATTGGTACCAGTTTGTGCTATACCGAAATTAGTAGCAGTTGGAACTGGAGTTGTACCGAAATTGGTAGCAGTTGCTACTGTACCAATATTTGTAGAAAAAGCATGTTCTCCTATGTACTGAGGATTCGGTCTTTGCCTCGGAGTACCAGTTCCTATCACGTAGCTGCCGGTTCCTCCTACTTGAGCTGTCGTAATACCAGTTTTTGTGGGACCAGTTTTTGTAAATCCTCCTCGTGTATAGACTTCTGTTGTCGTTTGTTCACCAGCTTTCAAAATAGTCGACTGCTCATTTTCGCCATTACCAGCATTAATAATAAACGAGTTAGGAATTCCCGTGTAAGAAGGAGTTCTGTAATCTTGTATGTCGTTAGTTTTATAGTCTGGGTATTGCGTGCTTGGAACATTAGCACCTGGAGCATAAAGTCCGAAATTTTCGAGTTCCACAACAGGCCTTGCGTCGCTTAATGGAACAACTGCTGGCACTGAGACATGAATTATATGATAATTTAATTTATAATTTTATCAGACTCTATCTAGCTCTTCGTTTGCAGTATTTTTATTTTATGCAATTTAATTAATACAATTTTATTCTCACCTTGTTTATTGTAACCTGGAATGATTGTAGATTGAGTACCCGAAGTCTTAGCGAAACCAGTAACCTGATATGGATTTTGATTCAACGTTGTTCCTTTATTATAGAAAGTACTGCCAGTGACAGTTCCGGTATTCTCATTATATCTAGTAATTTCATTATTAGGTACTAGACTTGATCCGATAAGTGGTGAATTATTGTTGTTGGCTGTACCTGCGCCAATATTATAATTTGGAGCAATAGTTGATCCGCCAAATGTACCGAGTCCAGCAGTGGTTTTCGTAGTTCCACCTATAAAATGAAAAATTAATGAAAAAAGTTAATTTGTTGATAATTGAAAAAATATTTTCAAAAGAGAATAAATTACGTTACCTATGTTTGAATTATCATAGAAATTAGTGACGGTATTATAATTCGGGGTACTTTGTGTCGGTCCGTAAGAACCATACTGTGCTGGTGTTTGTCCTTGACTGGTAAAGCTCTTCTCAGCCTGATTAGTGTGTTGCGTACCAAAGCTTTCACTTGTTGAAAGTCCCACAGCTAAGTTCGAATTGTAAATAATAGCTATATTAAATATAAAAATGTTAAATAGGCGTTTGTTGTTAGTAATTATATAATCATAAAAAACGTACAGTTAACAGGTTTTGTGCCTTGATAATCGTCTGTATTTTCTTTTCCTCTAAAAGGTAAAATCGTCGAAGTGGGATACCCAAGATTAGGATTATATGTAGCATTGTAAATAGTTGGCCCGTTTCCAGTGATGTATTGCGTAACATCAGATCCAAAATTATTTGATTCAACATTCGTAGTACCTATACTGCTATAATAAGGTCCCGTAGAGCCATATGTATTTTGTACGTAGCCATTCGTAGATCCACCAAATGTAGTTCCAGTTGGGCCAGCGAAATTATTAAATCCAGTTATTACTCCTGCCGTATCAGCACTGTATCCCGTAATAGAACCTTCTGTTGCGTATCCAGCAGTGTTTCTGTCTCCGTAGTCAATTGTATTACCAGGAGCATATACCGTCGTGGAGCCTCCCGTATATCCATTTTTAGCATTTCCTGTGCTAACACCTGGTGTATAACCTGTGGTAGAACCAATATCTCCTGCGTAATTAGTAGCTATTGCTGAAGTGAATCCAGTTGGTGTACGAGTATCTCCAGCAAAATTATTTACACCAATAGTAGAACCAATAGTTCCTGCGTTGAACTGCGTGGTTTTACTTCCAGCGTTGAATTGCGTGGTTTTACTTCCACCGTTGGCATATGTATTTCCTTGGTTAGCATAATTATAAGTAGGAGTAAAATCTCCTCGATCTTCATAATTTACCGTAGATGTCACTATATCCTGACCATTGAATCCCGTAGGCCTTACCGTGACAGATTTATCGACGTCTACATGAGATTGAGCATTACCATCGTAATTTTGATTGTTATAATCTTTTCCCATATCGACATGAACTTGCGTATCGCCACCGTAGTTTTGATTGCCATAATCCTTTCCTACATCTAAATGAGCTTGAGTATCGCCATCGTAGTTTTGATTTTCATAATCCTTTCCCATATCTACGTGAGCTTGAGTATCACCTCCATAAGCTTGATTACTATAATCAACGCCACCGCCAGCTCCATTATAATTTTGTCCATCATAATCGACACCACTATTTTGTGTCTGGTAATTTGGTTGATTGTAAATACTTGGAGCAAATGGCCGAGGTGAACTTATTGCACTATTACCACCGGCATTATAACCAGTATCATAATTATTTCCACCTATATTAAATGTTTGACCATCATAGTCTGCACTGTCAGGTACAGCTCCTGCTGAATTAATTCCGCCTGAATTGTAAGTTTGTCCATCAAATCCAGCCCCACCAACTTGTCCAATATTATATGATTGTCCGTTGTATCCCACTCCTGTTCCACCGCTGATCCCTGTATCGTAAGCTTGGCCATTGTATCCAGTGTTTGCTCCACCAAAACCTCCAGTATTATAAGTTTGTCCATCGAATGCAGCTCCGGCTCCGTTGTAATTTTGCCCATCATAATCCGGATTGAAAGACTGTCCACCATATCCAACAGCGACTCCACTTTGACCGTGTACATTGTAAATGTCTTGCGCTCCAAAAGCTCCAGCTGAGTTAAATGCTTGACCGTCATAAGTACCAGGTGTTCCAGCAGTATTATAGTTCTGTCCGTTATATACACCAGCTCCAGATCCAAAATCTTGTCCACTTTGAGCATCGTATGTTCCTCCTGTTAATCCTCCTTGACCTACAAATCCGCCTACACCTACGATTCCTCCCTGCGGTACATCTCCTCCTTGTGCTCCGTAAACTGCGCCATAATTGTAAATACTATGAGCCTCACCATGATCGTCACCATGACCATGGCCATTGCATTTTGGCACTTTCCATGGCCATTCGCATATTAATCTATGCTCATCAAAGACTAAGCCAAATGGACATCGAAACTCGTATGGCACCATTTCAGGACCACCTTTTAACAAAAAAAATTTTATTCGATATTTTAATTAACTGTAATGTATAAATGGAAAGGAAAAAAAAATTTTTTTTATTTATTTACCGAGATCATAACAAGCAAAGAACCATCTACAATTCTGTGGATCCGCATAATAACCAGGATAACTAGGACACCGGAACCTACTTCGTGGTACCGGCTCAATTTCACTGCTACCTGGACATGCAGAACTTCTCGGTAATGATCCAGGCCACGTACATACTTCAGTTCTTTCGTCGAATGCTAAACCAGCAGGACAGTCGAATTCAAATACGGAATAATCGTCGACTCTTTGATTATATTTGACACATCGATAAAATCTGAAAGTACAATAATCAGCAATAATTCGCAATCTTTCTGAAAAAAGTATTTATTCAGATGCAAGTTCTATACCTATTACAACTTCTTGGGTGAACAAAGTATCCCTGTCGTGTACAAGTAAATGCCGTTCGAGTATTTTCACGTACAGTTTGAATTTTTCCCTCAGTATCTATAACTTGTACAATCCTGAAGTCCGAGGATCTTACGTGTCTTGGGTAAGAAATTTTAGAATCCTAATACAAATCATGAAAAAATTAAAAGAAAAATTGACGTTCTAATCGTTTTTGCAGTGAATTAAAATGTGGTTTACTGTTGCAGACAACAGATGCCAGCTTCGTACAACTCGTGCGATAATCGAGCGAGCTATGGTTTTACACCTTTCACTCGAACTCAGTATTATCGATCGAGTAGCTGCTAGCTTGCTAATCGTTGACACAGTAGATCACCTTCAGATCGGTAGATTAAAAATCACTTGCGTCGTACCTTTAAATCACTTTCCAATGATGAAAGTAATGCTTCTCTAGTTTTTCTCTTCATTTCCGTGAATGATTTGTAAACGGCTTGAATTACAGATACTCCGCAATCATTCGTTATGTCATTTTCAACATCTCGCAAACCCAATCCAGCCAAGTCTCGTAACATTACATATTTTCCCTATTAAAATAAACATATGAAAATCAATAATTTTAATTATGTTTATTTTACGACTTGAGTGCAGGTAAATAGTTGGACTAGAAAAGTAAAACGGAATGAGTTTGACATGCGTGCGATTGTAAATAAAAAATTTTCCTCTGAACTTGCGAAATGAGTTAGAATAAATGATAATAACGGCGTATTAACCTTAATTTTGAGCGAAGTCTCATCTTCAAATGCAAGCCACGAAGTATTTTTGAATGCGTAAGGCGCCGTGAGATCTTCATCTCTCTCGACAGTCCACTCGCCATCGTTCATCACGTCGCAGAGCTGCAGAATAAAAACGAAAGTAAGAGATTTTTTTTATTTAGCTCAAATAATCACGCGGATAAAACTCGAGTGGATATTCGGTCATGAAAATCTCATACTTTTTTACGATCCAACGCGACGGGCTGCTCCTCAATCGTCGGGGATCTTGGCGCATTCTCTTCAGCTTTCTTCAGCGTAAATTGATAGGCGCCAGCGGGCGCTGAAATCAATATTTTTTGCTTGGGCGCGCCCATACCGCTTATCAGGTCCACTAAACTGTCGGTGTTTAGCATGTCGAACAAGCCCATCAATCGTGATGGATGAAACGAGTGGTAAGCCTCCTCGTTGCTTCTCAAATAGTGCGTTGCTACCGTAAACACGTCTACGTATCTGCGAAAGTGAATTTTACATCTTTGCATAAATCAACATTATATACGATTCGTTATTCATTTTATTCCCACAGAGAATAAAATGAATATCCACAATCACGAAAAAATTGCTCGTTTAATATTCATAAATTCGCTGAAGATCGTCGATAGCTTGAGTAGTTATTTAGCTCTACATAATCTCAATTATAATGGTACCAACGACCTTAAGATCGCGAACCTCTTTTTTTCTCAGTCGCTCGTCCATATGTAAAACTAACGGCGCGTGCATTAATTTGACGACTGCCAGCTGCATCCGCGCAGTAGGCAATTCTCTCATAGTAAATAAAGTGCCGCGGCCGCGTTGATGCGTCAACCGCGCGGCTGCATCCTCCATCCTCTCGCTCGTCGTTTCATCCATATTCAACGAGGAAATCTCGCGTTCGAACTAGTGCACGCACATTCCAGGTGCATGAACCAAGATGCGATCAATATACCTAAAAGGAAGCTTATTTTGCCGAGTGGACGGCGCAGCAACGTGCGTTTGAAAGATACACGCCCCGATGAAATGATCTTGCGCTTGTTTCTTCGTTTTTATGTCTCATGAGAAGTGCTTCGACTTGCCACGGGCACCGCGTTCAAGATCACAGCCCTAGTTAGCGGGCAAATTTGTCGGTGACATTGCTTTTCACGGCACATGCCATTAGAATCACCCTGATGGGATTTGTTTTTTCTAGCGTTCGGCAATTCCAAGTGAATATAAGGTTTTCTTTATTCCAGACATTTCTCGAATTTATTTTTTGCTTTTCGAGGACGCACTTCACGAGTTTGACAGGCGAATCATTCTTGGACGGATTTCTTCACAATGCTTTATGCTCGGATATAAGTAACTGCGTTATTATAAGAAATTGCATTTCCTTAAGTACCTTGCTTCATTTCCATAACCCATCTTTGAGAAGAAAAAAAAGCAATTGCATAAGAGCGCCAACCCGTACATCACACGGTGTATCTCTGGAACCGACAAAAAAGTTGTATCCGAGGCTCGTCACTTTGAAGAAGAAGAAGAAACGTGGGAATGCGAGTCTCTCAAGAACGATGCAGAATAATAAGCCAACTCGATAGATAAACGACTGTACGGATGGTAGCAAACACGTGAACCTATATATACGCACTTGGCAAGCTCCTTGAGCTCGAACTGCTTAGCCAAGTATTCGGGTTTCGTCGGCAGCGACAGCAGGATCATCTTGTCGATACTCTTGTTAACCAACTCGTCCTTCAGGCCTTTAACGAACGAGACCAGCCGCTCCTTATTACCTGCCGTTATATTAAGCTCCACGCCGTCGACCTTCCAACAGAAAGCATTTTTTGTCGTTCGATATATGTTGAACATCTAAAATAACGCGTTTCACGACAATTTTTCAATATTCATGATCGTAACTCCCTCAGTCAAGTTTTACCGATTACATATTAATACCACTTGTCGTTTATTTGCGCGCAGCTGGCAAAATTTATATGTTTACACTGTGCACGCATTCAATGTTTCAATGTCTATATAAAGTTGATAGAACTTGTTTTGTATTTAACGATTTTGTGTGGTTATTTGTCTATGCGGATAGACATGGGCAGTCAAAAATTCATAAATTCCAACAATTGCAATCGTAAAAAGAAATCGTTAATGAGCTAAGGATTCTTGCTAAGAAAGCCGTTAAAAATAAATAAATAATTAAGCAGAGATAAATCACGCGAGCGTTGAATCCAAGTTGTACGTACAAGCGCGTCAATTGGTTATGCATCGTTAAGCGGATAAATAATGATTGATTAAACCGCAGGCAACATTAATTACTCGCAAAAACCAAGCCATAGATTTATAATAGCGACGAATTTATGATCGACGCCAAGCAAGGAAACCAGTTTTTCTTTTTTCTTTTTTTTTTCAGGTTATGCACGTAATCGAAATGTTTACGTGTCGATGAAATCTCACGGTTTAATTAGACGATTAATTAGAGAAATCGCTGAACTATAATAACGATCGCGCAACGCACAATGTCCGCATCGTGCAAAATCTTTTCGCGCAACGACAAATTGCGCGCGCGCGAAACATCCCGAAAAAGTGTTGCGTTAAACGCAGTACTAGCACGCAGTAGTGATTGAGATGTATATAATTCGCGTAAGCCCCAAGGGGCTAAAAGCGCTTTTTTTTTTATAGCGCGCTAACGAACGTACATAAAAAGTGCCCCGGGGCGAGTTCTGCACACGCCTACAGTTTCATGGTCGCCGATGATTGTTCCCCCGGCACGTGTATAATACGTGTGAGTAACGAGATCGCGCGACTTGTGCAATTCGACCGCGTAGCGCAAAGTTACACCGTGACGCGGAGGATAATGAGAGCTTTCGGAGAATTGTCGCGGCTTGTCATTAAAACGGCGATTTCTTTTTTCTTTCTATTTTCTGGTTCGCTCGTTTCATGCAAATTACCAAGCGCGCTTGGTTAGTCCGAGATTCTGGAACGTTCGTCGATGAATTTATAATTGGTGAGGATGATCGTAAGATGTCCATTAGAAAGTTGTAGGTTGTGTTCATTGTTATGAAAACTTGTTGGGGAGCTTTTTCTTTCCGCCGGACTTTAATTTGCCGAGAATTTCCGAGATTGAAAGAATTCGGAATTGTTCTTCTTTTGCGCAACAGCTATATAATAAATATAGCTACCAAAACAATGATGCATAATAAGTTCGCGCGCTCGACAAAGTTTTTCTGAATATTTAAGCGCGCGAATACTGTAATTTGGTGGTAATTACAAAGTTGTGCAAAAACCATTATTATATCTCACCTCCTTCAGTACGTCACTGAGATATGTGGCCGCATCTTGTCTCGTAGTTCTCGAACTCTTCAGTATCTCGTGGTTATCATTGATCGACATGACAACTCTGATAATGGGATTCGCTTCCTTGGCAGCATTTCTTAAACTCTTTAATTCTGAAACAACGGAGTTCCATTGTAACCACTAGTATATGTTCTCGTTTGATTAAATGAAATATCGAACGCAGGCGTGTTTTTTTTAAATAACCGATTCCATCGTGTATTACGTACGCGCGCATCGTTTGTAAGCGAAGAAAATACATTTATCCCATACTCGATACCAGCCGCGCCTTTTACATAAGCATGCAAATGCCACCGAGTTATTGCTCTCTTCGGGTGATTTAATATCTCCATTTCAAGTTTCGCCTGGCGCGATCTGCTTCCGACAAGCGCGGTCCGTGAAAATAAATAAAAAGGAAAGACAAAAAGAATATCGCTACTCGCCCACGGCTTTTGAAATTCCAACGAGCCGGAAGAAGGAACAGAAAGCTTCGCCGGCAGAAAGCTCGAGTACTCGCAATAAACCGGATAATTTACAACAACGAATCGATCATTTCTGCCCGCGCACAGTGGAAAGTCGTGATTTTTCTTTATTTACAGCCAGGATCGTTCCGTTTCGCCGATGTATTAAGGTGAAGGTCGACGAACGCACGCGCGCATCGCCATTAAATCTTTTACTTGCTTCTCAAAATGGACGGGCTATTATCTCGTCGTTGGAATGCTTCGTGATTGTAATTGGGAGTGGCGAGAAACCGGAGCAATTACCCAGCTAATTTAGCTTAAAGTGGTTCAGCTCTTTGTTCGAATTTATATTTTTCTTTCGTGTCAATTCTACTATTTCTAAAGTAAAAACGTTCATTAGGTGAGTATATTCTATTCGTGAGCGTGTTTTAGCTTTGATCAGGAAATTTATCGTCGGCGAACAAAGAAATTGTTTTTTCGTTTGCAAACGCCAAGCGAATATCCTTGGCGCCAAGATGTATGAATTATTCGCACAACCTACGCACGCGCACACGATTATTAAGAGTAAATGAAGACATTTTATTAGCCTATAAATTTTTTAATACCTACTTACCTGGAATAGTTTGTAAACTGTGTTACGAATTGGGATTTTTTAAGATACCTTGTAACAACTAATAAAGCACCAAGTATTTACAACCCTAATATAACGACTCTGCCATATGAATGAGCACAACTCTTGTACTGAAATATGACCGACTCATTACAACTCGCGTTTTCTCATATGCAAATTTTCGAGCTTATGGGTGCAATATTCATTATTATAAGAAAATCTATTTCACTGAACGAATTGTGCAAGGGCAGCTTGTGCATATTAATCAAAGCGTTTATGAGTACAAATCGAAAGCGATCGGTTTATTTATCATGGGATATTTAAGATCCTGTGACGTTATACGAAGGACACGAATCTCCTTTCCACATGTGGTGAATTAATCGACTGCGCTCGTCGCCAAAATAAACGAGCTTTCACTTTTTTGGCCCATGCTAACGTATTCGTAAACGTCGAAGCTCGAGACCAATTCACAACAATCGTAATAATACATTGCACAAATTCAATTTTTATATTTATCTTCTCATTTACCAGTTCAAGAAGGTGAACTGGTTATGTAAACATTTTCGGTGTGAATAATGAGCTCTATAAGAATCAATAATCCACAGCCTATTCAGCGAAGAATGAAAAAAAAAAATTCGTTATCAGTCATTTTTCAATTTCTTATTAATCAAATTTCGAGGGCGAATGTGAAAATATTAATATATAAGCATGAATCTGCGTTTGAGTGATTGACACTAGTCCTAATAAAGCGCGACGCCAAGAAGGTTTGATGAACATTCGGATATGCATATATTTTATCGGTGGTAGAAACTTTGCAACGATAAATTCGCAATATTCGCACGACCGTTCTTCATTTATCCGCAAAAGTGAAAGGCAGTTGGGCACGATGGTGACAGTTATATCACGCGGTATAAACATTAAATTTGTCTATAAAGAGCTTCGATGAAAAATATAAATCAATATAACAAGCCACTCTACAAATCATAATCGCCGATAGGATTTTGCCGCCACATTTACGCTAATTTCTTTATAATTACTGTCGATAACTCTTAGTTCCGCGAGATTTGGTGCTGGTGCGGGTGCGTGTGTAACGAGATTTTTGCAAACGGCGAGCGCATTTGACATGTTCCCAGGATTTATACGCATTAGTTATTTCGCAATAATGCGCCTGTCAGTCGATTTTCGCGATGGAAGCTTTGGTTTTTCATATGTAATGATTTTCGTACAGATCCGCATGAGATAAATGCCCTCATAAAAGTTTACCCCATTCCGATACGCGAGAGAATGCAAACTATTCTACTCGCGATATTAACCATTGAAAAGAAATTTATAGAACCATGGCTGATAGTCATATGTATACGCCTCCGCTATACAATGGAAAAATAAGAAAATTGGGCCTGCATAACGTTAACTGTAGACTATATTCTTTGGCACTATACATCGTAAAACTACCATCTACGCCATTCTCGTGCAGGACTTTTCTTACGCTGATAAAGCATATCATTTTGTGATCTAGTGAGTTGTCAAATGATATAAATTGTTTTACAAAAATATTGAATTTATTGCATTCATATCACCGTGTTAAAATTTTTTAAATCGCTTTTTTCTTATTACTGTTATAAAGTAATTTATTGTAAATAGATCTACCAATTACATATATGTAAGAACAAATTTGTCAAGGCTTTCAACTCAAAAGTAATGATTTTTTATCAAAGTAAGAGGGAAATCCGAAGGATTAATTAAAGAAAAGTGAAAGCATTTATATTTAATTGTTTGCCATGAACTAAAAAAATTATTCAAGTGATGTTATCCACTCCGGATGTCTGTCTATTTCGTAGCTTGGGAGGTGTGAAAAGTATGACATCCAATATAATCAAGTCCTTGCTCTAAAAATATTCAGAGGCAGAATAATATTCACAATCTCGCTGCATGCATATTCATCCATAGCCAAGTAAAAATCGTACAAAGCCTCTCCCGTTACGCAACGTCGAATCGAGAGTAAGATGAGAAAAAAACGAGTTCACGAGTCGCCCGAAGCGCTTATATATACCGACTGCTTTCTCGCTTCATCCGTCGTCCGACAAATTTGCGGGTGTATAAGGTCGTTACGAAATCTTCGACGACCGAAATCCTTTGCGCAACGTCCAGACTCGCAGAGTGCATGTTTCGCGTGCGTCATTGCTTTGGCGTGTGCACTAATTGTCTCATAGTCGCTCTTATTCTTATCGTGAGAAATGCGCTTATGCGCATTATTAGACTACCGATAGACCCAATTATGATAATTTTACCAAAATCCCCACTCGTCCATAATGTGATCCATATTGGAATTGTAGTTGTTTCAATGAAATATTTAAATTAGATAACGATTAATTAATGCGGAACATACTGACACTAATCCCTGAGACTCGGTTATTTACTGAAAACGTGACTTATCGTACGCTCAATTAATTTGCTTGCAGAATTGCAGTAAGCGCAAGTTTTTCTCACACGGCGCTCGCGATTCAGTTGTATCGAGCTGCGAAAAAAAAACAATTTTATGGACCGCAAGCACGCAGTAGCGAATGGCTTGTAGAGTACTAACACAAAAAGATACATGACGAACGGGGTGAATGGGGGGGGGGGAAGAAACCAATCAATCTCAGCCGATGGGAGTATGGCGTGTCTTTGTCGGCATAGGGCTTTTCAAGCTCTCGAAGTACAGCGCATAAACAAAGCCGCGCGCGCGACGCGTACGTGTTCAGGCGCGTTAATCGGCCGCTAATTGCCCGTAGGTGAGTTGCGAAAGCTTGGGCAAGGGCAAAATTGCCGCAGTGACCTCGCGCCACATGCCGACCCTTCTGACAGTCGCGCGTGGGGGATGCACGTGGTTCGGCGCTTATCGCCTCGCAATTGATAGCTCGTTTTCTTTTGCCCGTTAAGATCAACGCGAGCAATTAGTGCTCGGAGCGTCGTTACGAATTTTCGAGGCGGTAATAGGTGGCAAACAAGCTGCGGGATGGTCTAATTAGTTCGCAGACCGGCTCGGCAAAGTTGCGTGTAAATCACGCCGATGCCGACTGCGAGAGTGAGTGGGAAAACTAATTACTCCGGCTTTTTATTTGCACCTCTTGAACGACGCGTGTGCGCGCAGGTGAATCTACTCTGTACTCATAGAACTGCGGGCTCGCCAAGTGTATGAGGCGTGCTTTGAACATTGATGTAACTCTCGCACAATAATGTCAGCGCTTATATATTAGGGTAGTAAGCGTTCGTGGTTTCAGATATATTTTATATGCTCATCAAATCCATCGAGAAGACGTGTATTATTGTTTTACTTTGTAAATGACCAAGTCTCGAAAGAAAAACAAATAAAATCACACAATTTACAGTATCTGATCGTCTATCAATCATTTTCAATGAATTTCAACTTGAACGTCGCAACGAAACAAAAAAAAAGGTTGTTTTGTGCGAGTACGAAACAATCGGTTCTCAGGCAATTAATCGGGGGCCATGCTCTCGCGAAAGGCATATCCTTAAAAGTCGAGAGAAAGGGAAGGATCGAGAGAGTGCGAGGGCGCGCGAAGGTACATATACTATACTACATATACTCACCGGAAGAGTCAAGGGATTGCAGGTCGTGGCCTTGATGAATGAGAGTCGTGCATCGGCAGATGGCGTTCTCCAAGCGAGTCACCTCGTGGCTCTTCGTGTAGCAGACGAGCTCGCGACCCGGCGAGCTGGACCCTCGTTCCGGACATTCTGAAAAGTACAAGAACGTTTTGCGCGGAGATCGGTTAGTCAATGCAGGAAGTCATGACTCGCTGACAGGTTTATATTGTCGACGAAGCTTTGCGGTCGATCTATTAGTTCTTACTACAGACGATTGCGGTTCTATTTTTTTTTGCTATTGGATAGTTTCGAGATCGAGCAAGTAAAAAATCCATTCAATGACTTCTTTATGAAAATATCTTCAACGCCAATTTCATTGTCTACCGTTCGAAATAAAAATTGAAGTTGTTCGTGAAGTCTATTGTAAAAGTGTATATAGAAACAAAATCTCACAATAATAAAATACAGATAAAAACAGAAATTCAAATTCTATCGGACATACTGTCGACAACCCAAGCAAAGAAAGCAAGCGTTAATAGTTTTTTCTACGTTAAACTCGTCATCAATTAATCGTACATGCCCTAGTCACGGCGATCTAGATCTCCTCGTTGTCGGCAAAAATGGTTAAAACTATTTAACATTCTCACTTGATTGATGTGAAGAGAAGAAGGACGCTTCGGTAATTTTTATTCTATGAACAAAATCTTTGCCTAAATTATTTTAGCACGCTTCTTGTCCAATTGGTCAAACCGGCATTCTCACGTTGCTTGTCGGGTAGCAATAGAAAATAAAAAAGAATTTACTTGGTGCCATTTGGTTAAAGCGACGCACTCGTAAGATCAAGTGGTATTAGACTATTTGAAGATTTTTCAACTGACGTTACAACTCAGGAATGAGAAAAAATACCAGGTACTCTGTCTCATTCTAATTCGAGTGAAATACGTATAGGCATTTATGCTATATGCTAATTTAGGTGCGACAAGTTTGCATGTTAGATGTTGAACGAGTTGGACCACATAAATAACTTACATAAGATGATTATTGGCAGTAAACACTGAAGCATTATCAGCGAGAGAAAAGTTAACGAAGAGGAAATTTCAAACGCTTTTTTTTTTCTTTAACTCGAATGAAACCACACTGCAACGTAAAAGTCGCGCACGCATATGTTACGACTGCCATCACGCGTAACTCCGCCTAAGGATTTTTCATTTATACATAAGCATACGTCGAAGAATCATCGATCACTGTTGTATTTTACATCGGCAACGATCTGTACAACCGTCAGCAGGGTGAGTCAGAGTGAGAGCATTTCGCAAATCGAAATGAAGATAATATGCAAAACAAAGCCCAATTTTCGACATCAATCGTGCGGCAGTAAACATGAACTTGCTTTGCAATTAAAAATGCACGACACGTGCGCGCGTGCGGTAAAGCCAACTGGAGAGAAACATAGAATACTCATCAGTGCCACAAGGATCATGGCGGAGAACCGGAAAACTAGCACGTGTGACATCACCCGCGGACGCGATGCAATGCTGTCGAAGCATGCTTTGCATGACACGATCGACAGCTACGTTATCGGCATCGAGACTGTTTATTTAATTACATAAGTCAATTTATCGGCGCAATTAGTCGCGCAAAAAAAAGAAAAAAAAACGAAAAAAAAATCGCCTGTACAGGGTGTGCGAGCAAAAAATATGTCGAAAAGTTTGTTTCACTTGGCGAGCTTTGCGCAGGCGTTCACGGTTTACCGAGGAAGTTATGCGGCTAATAAAAGTTACGTTTTTGTTGCACGCTCGAAATGCGTTTTATAATCCGTTTTTATGCTCGGCGTTCGGATAAACAGGTGATAATTATGTACGCGTGCCTGTACATAATCCATCGGTAAATGAAGAAAGTTCTATTTATTTTTGCATTTTCTGCTATAGCATAGCTATATCATTATCCAATATTGATTTAGGAAGTTTTAGATTGGGTAACGCGCGGCCAACTATCCGCAAATTGGAGTTTTTCAGGAACGAAATTAAGGAGGCGCGCCTGCGAGTATCAAAAAGTTACTTTGCCTAATGCACTTGTAAAAAACTCCGATTACAGCTGATCGGCCCAATTAGAACTGGACTCTCACCGATTTCAGAATTCACCAGCGCCGATCATCGGTAAATCCTCATTCCTTGCGAGCAGGGAGTCTCTAAGAGAGACAGAGGAAAAAAGCACACTGCCAGTCTTTTGCTATATATCCCGACGGGGGAATTCACCACGCTAGACTGCTTCTCGCGAGTTATATTACAGATGCGCTTTCCAGTTTGTTTTTTTTTTCTTTTTTTTTGCTGCTCGCTTCGGCTCAATCGGCACACCTGTCCCGATCAACGCGACTCCTGGACGCGACGGTGTCGAAAGGCCTAATTGAATTTGACAAATAGCTCGAGGAAAATGGTGAAAACAATGGAATGGAAAATTTGTTAGTCCGATCGACGACTATCATGACGTGGTGATTGGTTGCGAGGAAAAAATGCAAAGTGTAACGGCCGCTGTATTTGTAGAAAAAGGGATTATAGAGTAGAACGAACTGAAGCCAAGGGAAACTCACGTGGCGATCACTCGTATAAGCTTTGGCTGAGGTGTGCTCGTGATGCACTATGTAAATTAAAGAAGAATCGATGAAATTGGTATTTCACCGTTTTTGTCTGTACTATGGTATCGAATTGATGGTTTTGAATGTTGCTTGAAAGCTCCTACAAAATAAGAAGGCAAGACGATCACCGTCGAAAGATAAGAACCGAAAGATAAGGGCGCACAATCACCGCGAGAGCTTCGTAGACGTTCATCGCGGGTCTGTTCTTGGCACAAAAGCACTTACTCAGCGCAGGGCTCGCACCGATTAGTAGTAACAGTCCGAGTAAGTAAGACACGCCACGTTGAGGCGGCATTTTGCCTCGCGCACAGAACGAGCCGAAAAGTCGATCACTGGTTTTTCAAGGCATGGGTCCTCCGTCTAAAAGCCTCTTCTCCGAGCCTATCGCTAATACGCCTGCTCGTTTGATTGCTCGTGTCGTTTTTCTGGCCCGATCGCGGAATCGTCTGGGCTATGACTGAAGTCGGGGATTCTGCGAGCGCGAGCTTGTATACGCTCGCTGATATCTCGGATCACGGGGGAGGGCGAGGCGAGCGAGCCGCCGCGCCGTTCGACCGCCGCCGCGCCGCTGCACGAGGACGAGAGCGAGAGTGAGGATCGCAAGTGTGCGTGCCGCTATGTGCTCTCGCTTTCGTGGATGACGGGGCACTTGTTCATTTCGAGCGAGGAAACGACACTCGATTTTTGCCACTGACCCAGACTCTGTGACGCGACATTCTTTTGCTTATTTTTGGAGATGCAATTTAAACTCGACTCTGAGCTGGCCGCTACCCGAACCAGGAGATCGGCTCGATGCATACTCTCAGTGTCAAAGAAAATTTTCGTTCGTTTATTTCTTTTTTTGGGATAGATTCTGCTAGAGCGTAACATTTTTTTTTGAAAGTCTAATGAAAGTACTTTGTCTGGAATGCAGATTAAGGAACAAAATTTCTCATTCAAATTTCAAATTTAATTATAAACGCGAGATAATAAATTGAAACAATAGTACGTTACGTAAGCGACGCGGAAATTTTGTTGAAATTAAAAGACAATATTTTGAATGATTATGAGCGACTATTAGCGACATTTTATGAAGTGTGAGCGTGCTGTTTGTGGTCAAATTGTAAGGGCAGTCAACCAGCTTTCATAAAAAAGTATTATTGCCTTGTTTTACGCTTGAATATAATCGAATCAGATTTTAGCAGGCATTAATTCAAATGTCTTCATGTTAAATATAAACGAGCTTATTCTCCAATTGGCGTAAATAGTTTCTTAAACAATTGAATTAAGTGCTACTAGCGGTGTTAGAAACGCGACAGTTATAAGTACAATTAACGAAAATAAGAAATAATTCATTACAGTATTGAAAAACTGCTTCATAAGTTATTTTTTGAAGTATAACCTTTGCTTAACAAAATGAGTTGCTCATAAAGTCAACAAAGTTATAAAACGTATGATCGCTTGAAGCGAACAATTTTCACACGAAGAAAATCGGGGCAGTGATATTATCAATAGCCATTCGCGTAAAAGAAAGCAGCTTTCGAGCGTAAAAGTGTAAGGCTAACGTTCCATCGTAATAATTAAGCAGTTGTGTGCGCGCTTGCTTATTGCTTTTCTTTTGCACGAAGGATGGTGACAATTGTCGTCCTCGCGTCTCGTGTGTATGCGGTTCCGTGCGCATAACACGTGGGAATCCACGAGGTCTTCCTGCTCCGCCCGAGAAACCGGGATCTATAGTGGAAAAACAAAAAGAAGAGCTTGTCCTCCGAAAAAAGTCATCCCTCTTACAAGAGCACAGCGTATGTAAAATACTATGGTGGCATTGTGAAAAGGACAAATGATGCGGTTCTCGAGGCAGTCATTACCACCTGAGCGAGAGTGTGGGTGCGGTTGGTAAGAATGCTCGTTAGAATTTGAAGGCTTTTGTCTTATTTTTTTCAAATCCTGCGCATGATATAGCTCACTCATGTATCTCTCTTTCTCGCTCTCGAGGTCTTGTAATTACTCGCGTTTTCTTCGCGGAACCTCTCCCCTTCGTGAGGAGCATTGTCTTCTGTTCTTGATTAGTGCGTTTCTAAAAATACGCGATACGCGATATTAATAAACATGAATCCAGTTATCAGTTTGCAATTCTGTACCATCTGAAACACTAACTAGTAACATTATCCAAAGATGAATCGACTATTGTCTGATATTAAGTCATGCGGTACCTGATATACATTTATTTTATTTTTACATCATTTCGCTTCGTGAATACGGAAAGAAGCTTTTATAAGATTTTATCGGTGGACAGCTGACAGTCTGGATTGAAACGTACGTGCGAAAAAATTAGGGATTCACGATTGTTCGGGTACATCTGTATTCAAAAACTGAAAGCTCCGAGAGAGAGAAAGAAAGATGACAGTTGTTTATGCGTCCGGCGAATCACACGTCATAATTCGATCGCGCACGCATGCGTTCCTTGACATAGTAAGCTCGCCGGTACAAGTGAAGTCACTTGGCAAACAATGGTCGTTAAAAAAAGAATATAAAAAAGTGAAAAAATTAAACGCAGTTGAGCGAATGAGCCCACGCTCTCAGACACTGCGCCTACACGCTACGTTTAGAGAGAGGTTTTTCACTGCTTCGGTGACGAATTACGATGAGATGATTGTACTCGCTCATGAAACGGAAGCCTCCGTCCATGAAATATGCAACAGCGCTGGTTGTTTGTATTATGCATGTAGGACAAATGTTCACACCTGTGCTGCTAATTTGCCCATTAATTTTTACTATTTGATGTTGTGCAAGCGAGTTGAACCTTTGCATGTTTCTTTGCTTCAATCGAACAAGTCGCCCTTTTGATTGATAGTTAAAGCAACGAGAATCAGACTGAAATTATGCCCGACTGATTGAATCTTACGGGTTATATTCGATCAGCGTTAATAGCGTTATAGAACAGTTAATAGTGTTCGATGCGGCGAATTCGAGCGCGATAACGACATTCCACCACTTAAATCAGTCGGAAAGAAGTCTTGTTTAATTAAAATATATCAACTGTGCTAGGAATTTTTTTGTCTATAATTCGTGACCGAATGCGAATCTATTTTACGAAAGCCAATAACTGTAGGGTCAAAACAATCTTTTATGAGTGACGTGACTTTATCCAATTTTTCAGGCTCAGTTGACTAGTGGAAAATTGGAAATTGACGTTCAATCCGTCTATGAAGTTTTACTCAGCTGTTGATTAATATCATGCTCGACAACACGCAAAACGCCTCAGTTTTAAAAGTATATCGTAATATATTTTCATGTGTATGAGGTCGTGCAGGGTTGAAAGAGAAATTAACGTCAGTGGCCAATTAGGTTTGCCTTCTGATTACTCTTGCCACGTAAATAAATCGACTATTCTTTTCACTCAAATAAAACCATACAAGATCGCGTTAAAGAAATTCTATAAAATGTTAACGATATTATGTAAGAAACGGTCCGGTTGTATCTCATCGATTGAGTGACATACGTACGCTGTGGTGGAAAAAATCGCTGGAGCGCACGTGACTCTGCGGAAATTCTTATTGTCGAAAGTCAATGATTGGTGTATCAGTTAACCAATTCAATAGATAACTAGCTCGATCGTTCGACGATCTTTAATTTTCCGCGTGTGTCATCAAGCAGCCTTTTCCAGCGTCACATCTGCGGGCGTTAAAATTGCCGTGCCGCGGGCGCTGACTGCTTCATGGCGTTATCATCATATTAATGCGTCAATCGTTGGACAGCGTGAAATTTACTGTGGTCTTGTCAATGGTCATCGAATCGATTACCACCAACGACGATGAAAATTACGAAAAATCGTTCACAAATCGAAAACTTTTCCCGATAGCAGGGAAATCGTTAAGTAATATTTGTTGATTAGCTGTTGAGTTTTGGCATCCTAGTGACGTCTATAATTTCGCAAAAGATGTATATCTCGTCAAACATGCCATTCAGCATACCTCTTGTATACAATTTATGAAAGAGTAGTCGAAAGTTTGCATGCTATACTTAAGTAAAAAAATTAAGTAATACAGTATATTTCAGTTTGAAAGTTCGTTAAGTTTTAATAAAACGGATGCTTATCGGCTGAACAAATCTAGAAACGCACGAATACCGTGCGATCGCCGCGCGGCTGCGTAGAGAGTCGTTTTTTTAACAACTGCAAACGTATTATATACTCCCATTCTCGTAGTTAGCCACGGGACAGTTGCAGCGAGAAGCGAGCTTTGCAAGAGAAACAACAGCCAAAGGGAATAAAAAAGATTAATTAATTAAAATGATCGCGCGCGTGCGTGCGTACATCAACTCTGCCAACTACATGAGCAACCGCATAGAGAGAAAGCGATCCACGCAGCCGCGACCGACGATATTATATACATATTAATCCGCGAAGGTGTATTTACGCTGTGCGCGCGTTGATACGGGTAGCCGGGGGCTCGATAATCCCGAACGAAAAAAGGCAAATGAGAGCTCGTTAAATCATCACGCGCCAAGCCACTGCACGTAATAATCCACGCCCATGTAACGCCGCTGTCTTGCTTTCCGCGCGTGTTTATTTGTTCTGCTTAATTTTGCTCGCGCAAAGTGAATTAATGAACGGGAACGTACGCGCAAAATAAAAGCGACAATTAGGAATGAAGCAATTCGTGCGCGGCCAATGAATGGGCGCCGTTATATGATTCTTTTTCTTTTTCCGCTGTAATCAGTCATTGACTTTCACCGAATTCGCCTGGGACAGGCTGTTTCGTGATTGATATTATGCCTATTGGTCACCAAAAATCTCGATTACAGGAGCTTTCTTTTAGCCTGATCAAATTAATGAAAATCTCATTATTATAATTGATTGGCTTACGGATGCTGCCGATTTTTCTGTAGAACTCTGCGTAGGTTTGCAGGTAATAGAATTTGGTATTTTTATTGAAAGAAGAAGCCTGCGTGACCTGACATTTTCAAAGATAAAAAATGCGCATTGTAAATTAGAAAAAAGAGGCGCAATCTTCTCACGGGTATATACACAGTTTGAGATTCCGTCGATCGAGTTAATCGACGAATTTGCTCGGGGCAGTGGCGTCAATGCGTGCGAAGACAAGTGTCGAAAAGGCCAGCGACGCGCTATTTGACAGGAGGGTAAACACGAGTGAGAAAAAGCGCGCAAAAGACAAAAGTCGCGCAACACCAATTATACGTGTGGCAATCGCGGCCTAGGGGCACAAAAAAGGAGCAGCGCGCGGAACGTCATCTGCACCGCGAGCTCCCTCGGCGACCTATCGGACTAATGAAATTGAACTACGCATTGGCTAATTGTAGCTCTGCCAGATTCCATGGATTTTTGAAGCCGTTACCCGAACAATTCAGCTTCGTTATTTTTGAGGTCGTTGGGTTGGCTGCTGCTTGCTTTTTTTTTGTTACTGATGATTGTTTAGAAATTAATTGCTAGCAATC